GATAGGCCTGTTTTTAATCCGACTGAATCCTAGCCGGGAGATTATCTAGCGTTGGTATATTTATTTTGTTTTCTTAATTAAATGTTAAATTATCAATATGAGGGCACACTGACGTGGATTAAGCCGTAAGAAATTTGATATGTTCCTAAAAATGCCAATCACACACAATTACTTTAATACCAAACTTATAAGTTTGTTTGGACATAAACTACTCATTGACGCAGGCCATTATGTACGTGAGGGTATGCTTATCAACTTATCAGTGTTTCAAATGATATCGATTAAGAATTATTCGGTTGAACAGAACAGCTAGACTGGGATCGAATCGATAGATATGAGACCAATTAACCGACGGGAAGTTTCTGATTGGTATATCACTTATGTACGATTATAAATGGTACATACCGAATCTTAATCGAGAAAAGAGAAGTCGAGCGAGAGAAAGAGATGGAGTTAACGTCCAATCGACACAAACAGTTTAAACATCCTACTTTCGGAGCCGTCCGATCTAATGAAGACGAGTATGCAGTGTGCTATGATGGTAATTGTCCCTGGATACCCATCGTCCTCCCGTCCTGCACCACCGGGATCTTCAGGTTAGCATTACCCACAAAACTACCGCGGACACTCGGTATAAATATATTACATTTGATTTATTGAAGAAATTGATAAAACCCCTTTAAAACAGATTAGACAGTAGAATGTCGATAGTTCTATTCTATATACACACCGTAGTTAAATTATTTTTCAAAATTGTGAAAATTGATAAACCTAGAGTAGATTGTGGAGTGTTGATAGTTCTATATTTAGCTCTATTCTATGTACACACCGTAGTTAAACTATTTTTCACAATTGTGAAAATTGATAATACTATACCCCTTTAAAACTATACTAGACTGTCGAGTATTGACAGTTCTATATTTAGCTCTATTTTATTTACATACCGTTGTATTATTATTGGTATATGTTCTGTTTACCTAGCTGTATTATTGGCATCTCCTTCATACAAGACAGACAGAACCTGATTATTAAATATTGGAATTATGTTATCATGTACTAACAATACAATAGTGGAGACACCAGGGCAGACATCCGTAGCTTACTCATAAAAAAGTTATAACTTATTATTAGTACATGATAACATCAATCCAATATTAATAAAAGGCTTTTAATGTCAGCCTATTTCTTAAAGGGAAAGTACGGGTAGAACACCCTGATTTGTTTATCAGCCACTTAAAACATAGTATAGTCTTATAGCAAACAAAGTCAAGACCTTTCCCCCCCCCCCCCCCCCAAGAAAATTTTGAAAATTACATTAACCCGAATAAGATTTACAGCACTTCTCTGTTGGTTTAAGACATCCTTGCCAAAATCTAACAAACAACAATGTGACATCTTTATTATACAAAAAGCATCTGACATTTTTAGCCTTGGAAAAGTGGTACTGATAACTATTGCACACTTTTTAAACCATGAGAGAGAGAAATGGGGGTTTAATGTCCACTCGACACTAAGTTGATTTCAGATTATATGGTTCAATTTCATTTCAATAATTCGCTTGCACTTAATGGTCTTTAGCAGTGGGAGGAAACCGGAGGTCCCGGAGAAAACCCACGAGATTGGACAGGCATCCCTACTCCTTGTCACATACAAGCAGGGAATCAAAACCATGTCACTTGACTGAATGACAAACCTTCTGATCCAACCATCACCAATTGGCTTGTGCACATCTGTATAGCAATTCTAGTTAAAAAGTTAATTTTATAACATAATAGACTTTGAGATAAAAATGATCAGCAGAACAATTTATTTACAAAAAGTAAGGAAATATAGGCACATACAGTCAAGGGCTACAAATAAAACTATCACTAAAATATACAAATATAAATCAACTACATATATAATAAAACAAAATATTAACACATGGCATTCAACAACATTAAAATAACCAACTAACTTGCATGTCATAACCCACTTATATATTTCATTACAATATGACCAAGTGGCATATTACAATATAACCGTGTGGCATATTACAATATAACCGTGTGGCATATTACAATATAACCGTGTGGCATATTACAATATAGCCAGAAACAAATTACAATATAACCAAGTTGCATATTATAGTATAACCAAATGATATTACAATATAGCCAAGTGACAAATTACAATATAACCAAATGACATAATACAATATAACCAAGTGGCATATTACAATATAGCCAAGCGGCAAATTACAATATAACCATATTGCATATTACAGTATAACCAAATGGCATATTACAGTATAACCACGTGGCATATTTCAATACAACCACGTGGCATATTTCAATACAACCACTGGGCATATTACAATATAACTTAGTGGCATATTACACCATAACCAAGTGACATATTACAACATAAGTACCAAGTGGCATATTACAATACAATCAAGTGGCATATTACAATACAATCAAGTGGCATATTACAGTATAATCAAGTGGCATATTACAGTATAACCAAGTAGCATATTACAGTATAACCAAGTAGCATATTACAATACATGTATAACCAAGTGGTATATTTCAATATAACCAAATGACGTATTACAATATGAAAACCTTTACAGGTAATTAAAATATTCATCCTAGGTTCCCAATACATGAACAAGTTTAAAATAGAGTTTCCAGGTAAATTCTGACGCTAACTGTTAACCTGTAAAAATAACAAAATTTAATACAAAGGCAAATTGTTGACCCAACTATAAAAACTGAGGAAATTCAATAACCATAAGGAATGGCTGTTTACCAACAAATCTTCACTTTAAGAAGTTTATTTCCCCATTCCTTAGTGTATTTGTTCAATATATGAATACAGGTTTGTTCTACTGAGTAATAACTCAACAAATTGGTGATTTTATTATGCATCTTCGGTATTTTGAGAATATGTCATATTGTTTGTTTCATGTTACATGTGCAATGCCTTGAGCATATCTGTCTACTCTTTTTGTAATTTCAAATTATCAAGGGATCTTTTAAGTGCACAATCAATTTATAAATAGGACCACGGTTTTCCATGCTATTGTGAAAGATGGATCGCTAACAGGAATATCTGTCCCAAAATTGTTCAATTTCGTTCAGTAATTAAAAAGATATGCTAATTTGAAATTACATCGATCTATGTTGCTAGAATACGCCGACATCTTTGTTGACCGCGAAACTAATTGATAGGCCTGTTTTTAATCCGACTGAATCCTAGCCGGGAGATTATCTAGCGTTGGTATATTTATTTTGTTTTCTTAATTAAATGTTAAATTATCAATATGAGGGCACACTGACGTGGATTAAGCCGTAAGAAATTTGATATGTTCCTAAAAATGCCAATCACACACAATTACTTTAATACCAAACTTATAAGTTTGTTTGGACATAAACTACTCATTGACGCAGGCCATTATGTACGTGAGGGTATGCTTATCAACTTATCAGTGTTTCAAATGATATCGATTAAGCATTATTCGGTTGAACAGAACAGCTAGACTGGGATCGAATCGATAGATATAAGACTAATTAACCGACGGGAAGTTTCTGATTGGTACATCACTTATGTACGATTATAAATGGTACGTACCGAATCTTAATCGAGAAAAGAGAAGTCGAGCGAGAGAAAGAGATGGAGTTAACGTCCAATCGACACAAACTAGGTTAAACATCCTACTTTCGGAGCCGTCCGATCTAATGAAGACGAGTATGCAGTGTGCTATGATGGTAATTGTCCCTGGATACCCATCGTCCTCCCGTCCTGCACCACCGTGACCTTCAGGTTAGCATTACCCACAAAACCACCGCGGACACTCGGTATAAATATATTACATTTGATTTATTGAAGAAATTGATAAAACCCCTTTAAAACAGATTAGACAGTAGAATGTCGATAGTTCTATTCTATATACACACCGTAGTTAAATTATTTTTCAAAATTGTGAAAATTGATAAACCTAAAGTAGATTGTGGAGTGTTGATAGTTCTATATTTAGCTCTATTCTATTTACACACCGTAGTTAAACTATTTTTCACAATTGTGAAAATTGATAATACTATACCCCTTTAAAACTATACTAGACTGTCGAGTATTGACAGTTCTATATTTAGCTCTATTTTATTTACATACCGTTGTATTATTATTGGTATATGTTCTGTTTACCTAGCTGTATTATTGGCATCTCCTTCATACAAGACAGACAGAACCTGATTATTAAATATTGGATTTATGTTATCATGTACTAACAATACAATAGTGGAGACACCAGGGCAGACATCCGTAGCTTACTCATAAAAAAGTTATAACTTATTATTAGTACATGATAACATCAATCCAATATTAATAAAAGGCTTTTAATGTCAGCCTATTTCTTAAAGGGAAAGTACGGGTAGAACACCCTGATTTGTTTATCAGCCACTTAAAACATAGTATAGTCTTATAGCAAACAAAGTCAAGACCTTTCCCCCCCCCCCCCCCCAAGAAAATTTTGAAAATTACATCAACCCGAATAAGATTTACAGCACTTCTTTGTTGGTTTAAGACATCCTTGCCAAAATCTAACAAACAACAATGTGACATCTTTATTATACAAAAAGCATCTGACATTTTTAGCCTTGGAAAAGTGGTACTGATAACTATTGCACACTTTTTAAACCATGAGAGAGAGAAATGGGGGTTTAATGTCCACTCGACACTAAGTTGATTTCAGATTATATGGTTCAATTTCATTTCAATAATTCGCTTGCACTTAGGGGTCTTTAGCAGTGGGAGGAAACCGGAGGTCCCGGAGAAAACCCACGAGATTGGACAGGCATCCCTACTCCTTGTCACATACAAGCAGGGAATCAAAACCATGTCACTTGACTGAATGACAAACCTTCTGATCCAACCATCACCAATTGGCTTGTGCACATCTGTATAGCAATTCTAGTTAAAAAGTTAATTTTATAACATAATAGACTTTGAGATAAAAATGATCAGCAGAACAATTTATTTACAAAATGTAAGGAAATATAGGCACATACAGTCAAGGGCTTCAAATAAAAGTATCACTAAAATATACAAATATAAATCAACTACATTTATAATAAAACAAAATATTAACACATGGCATTCAACAACATTAAAATAACCAACTAACTTGCATTTCATAACCCACTTATATATTTCATTACAATATGACCAAGTGGCATATTACAATATAACCGTGTGGCATATTACAATATAACCGTGTGGCATATTACAATATAACCGTGTGGCATATTACAATATAGCCAGAAACAAATTACAATATAACCAAGTTGCTTATAGTATAACCAAATGATATTACAATATAGCCAAGTGACAAATTACAATATAACCAAATGACATAATACAATATAACCAAGTGGCATATTACAATATAGCCAAGCGGCAAATTACAATATAACCACATTGCATATTACAGTATAACCAAATGGCATATTACAGTATAACCAAGTGGCATATTTCAATACAACCACTGGGCATATTACAATATAACTTAGTGGCATATTACACCATAACCAAGTGACATATTACAACATAAGTACCAAGTGGCATATTACAATACAATCAAGTGGCATATTACAGTATAATCAAGTGGCATATTACAGTATAACCAAGTAGCATATTACAATATATGTATAACCAAGTGGCATATTTCAATATAACCAAATGACGTATTACAATATGAAAACCTTTACAGGTAATTAAAATATTCATTATAGGTTCCCAATACATGAACAAGTTTAAAATAAAGTTTCCAGGTAAATTCTGACGCTAACTGTTAACCTGTAAAAATAACAAAATTTAATACAAAGGCAAATTGTTGACCCAACTATAAAAACTGAGGAAATTCAATAACCATAGGGAATGGTTGTTTACCAACATATCTTCACTTTAAGAAGTTTATTTCCCCATTCCTTAGTGTATTTGTTCAATATATGAATACAGGTTTGTTCTACTGAGTAATAACTCAACAAATTGGTGATTTTATTATGCATCTTCGGTATTTTGAGAATATGTCATATTGTTTGTTTCATGTTACATGTGCAATGCCTTGAGCATATCTGTCTACTCTTTTTGAAATTTCAAATTATCAAGGGATCTTTTAAGTGCACAATCAATTTATAAATAGGAACACGGTTTTCCATGCTATCCGACAGTGAATTGAAACGCCATCGCCATTTAATAATTTAAATTTAAAAATGGATAATCAAGACTTTTTCATTGTCTTAACAATCGACACTACGCTATTCTTATCAAAACTTCCAACAATTGCTTAGAATAAAGTAATTTGATTGAAATTTTCAATATTTATTTCTTTTATAAACTATTATTGTAAGAATTGTCAGCTCTTTATCTGAATCTTACAAAAAACATCTTTAATCTTACTGGTAGTAATAAGACTTAGTACAAGTTATGGAAATCTGTAGTTTAATTTGAATGTTACTATTATGGACTGATACACAATTTATGGCAATTTCGTATATAAATAACAAATATTACTATTGATTTTATATAATAAATGTGAGTGGAACACGTGTGCCAATAAAAACACATAAAATGGCTTGATATAAAAATTAAATAATTGTATGTATGACATCTAATGCAGTAAATGTTGTTATGCAGGCCTTGAGACAACTTTGATGGTTATAAAGCTATAGTCAATGATAATTGGCATACAAGTAAGTTATGATCCATCAAGAATCATGGTAACCTAAAAAAAATGTGTGCCATAGTAACTGTAGAATATGTGTCATGGTAGCTGTAGAAATCGAAATAAATGCACTGTAACATTGTATTCTATCAATTAACCAAATAAATTATTCAGCTATCAATGTAATAACTCAAGACTACCACAGTGTTCTAAAAATAGATGGGTGATGGAATCAATCTAAATATCAAAATAGCAAGTTTAGAAAAGTTTAGAAAGCCATTGTAAAGAAAAATCTCACAGATGTCAAATATTTAATTCTAATATACTGATATGATCACTTAATCAGATCAAATTGTTAAACAACATATGTGCAGGACATTTAGTCTACTCCAAAAAAGAAGTTAAGTTGTTGCTGATTTTCCTTTTCAATTAATTCACTACCTAATTATTAAAACAGTTAATTAAATAATAAAAATCCTTTAAAACTAAGGATGGATTTGTTCTATGCATACAATATCAATGTAATCTGAAATTTAAAATAAATAAATTATCAAAATTTTACAGCTCTATAATCTCTATATATATAAAAAAAATAAATCGTTTCATAAAATTTGAAGATTTTGTTTGAACAAATTCAGATCTTAATTTAAATGGACAGATAAGTTTAATGATGTATTTCAGATTTATTCAACACAAATAAAATAAAATCCAGAGATGTTTAAGTATGTCATGGGTTCTAAATACTCGATATTACCTTTTATCTTGAGCAAAAACAGAGTTAAACTATTTCAAGTGCATACAGGAAAAATAAATATATGAGCAATTGACTGGACACACAATATGTATGATCAATTTACAGCACACTGAACTATATATGAGCAATTGTAGCACACACAAATATGTATGAGCAATTTACAGCACTCACATATTTACATACATGTAATTCACTGCACAGTGAAATGTCTGAGCTATTTGCAGCATACAGAATACAGATATAATTGAAATGAACAGCACACATCAATATATGATCAATCAAGAGATATGTAATTGACAGCAAATCAATATAATGGCCAATATGTACTTTTAGACCAATGCCTGAAAATCGGACAGTTACTATAAATAAAATTCAAAATTATCTTTTTTAAAAGAAGTTTTTCAGTTCAAGCTTTACCTGTGTGGACATATTGAAAAACTATTTAAGGAATAACAATTTGTTACACTAACTGCCACAGTGGCACTCAATGAAGATGTTAACTAAGAACATAAACTTAGCAACATCTGCTGTTTTGACTGACTTTGCTACAACAGACTTTAATTATTTGAACACAATAGTTCTGAATGTTACTATATGAGATTATGACATTGATAGATTTTGTTCGATACCATATCAGCATAACAATTTTTAAAAATAAAATATAAATAATATGAACACAAAATTTACTAGATTATGTCAAAAATATTAAATGGTTAATAAAAATAATGAGTTTATACAACAATTAAAAATGATTTTCTCGTCGTTTTTAAAATTCTGAACCTGTCTCATTCGTTTAGTTGTTTCCACGATATTCAAAGTAGTTGAAATCTATCAGGAATGTTGCCCCCATTAAGATTGTCTTTTTCATTAAATCCATATTGGCAGGAACTGAAAAATATATAACAATTATTCAAATATCACTTCTTCAAAAGGTTAAATTACATAAACTCTTATATCGAATCCCAACTGTTAAGGGTTATCTTATGTGTAATCCAATATGTACACATGGCCTCAGTTTTTCATCCCATCCGTATGACTAAACAGTCATGGGTTGGGTTCAATGAACTTTGATCACAAGCTTGTAAAGGACAATGAGATAGACAACCTGCCCAAACCCATGGGTTTTCTCCAGGCCATCTGATTTCTTGTCACTTCTAAAGAAAACTATGTGCAAAAGAGAATTATGGACATAAAAGTTTACCATGTTCTTCCTGAAATGAGCTTATGACAACCACTCGTGCAGAAAAGTAGGATATCAAGCCCACATTTTATTTTGGGATTCTGATTCTGAATAAAGTAATGGTTACCATTGGTTACTTACATCGTAAAGAGAAGTCATTGGCACCACCAAACATTTCACGACATCCACCCCAATGCTTAACAATTTGCCCAACTTCTTCTCCACCATCATCAACACCTGCTAGAACCTAAAATCAGAAACCACATATTTAAGATTTGTTCATTCATCAACAAGATTGACAAATAGTTATCTACAACATTTCATTTATCCATTTTAAAACCATAATGTAACATTACTGAACACAGAACCCGAAGTCATTACATACAGTACATGTGTGGCATGGGGGATTATCAATATCATTAAAGATGCATTATGTAAGATCTAAATCTATGCCACATCTTGTCAAAACTTCAAACAGTGAAAACTTTGCTTAGATCAGAATAAAGTCATTTGTATGAAATTTTTAATTCATTTTGCATTATCAACTTTTCAGCTAATCTTGTATATCACATCTTTTATACGTATTTTACACTGGAGTGGAATACTGAATTTTCTTAATTACTTTGTAAACCAAGTTTTAGTAATCTCTAGCATATTTATAACTGCTGTATATACAACCTTTTCCTATAATTTGGCTTGATTTTAATTAAGAATGTAAATTGTCTGAACCATACTGACCCTGAACACTACATCAGTACAACATTTACAGTAACAGCAATCACCAATAATAGTGAATACAGGAGATCCCGTAGCATCATATACATGGTATTTAGGTGTCCAGCAAGTCCATCTAAAAATAAAATATAAAATAAACAAAACTATTGACAAATAGCCTACAGTGGCACATGAAAATTGTAAGATGATAGGCTGATGGAGATCTGATCAAATTGATTGGTTTTCTCCATGAGAGAGAGAGAGAGAGATGAGTAACCTCCACAAAACTTCGGAATCGGAACTAACACATAATACAATTAATTCATTTCAATGATTTATGGGCAGGTAGGTATTTCTATCACTCAATACCACATTCTACAGTAGATATCGCTTGTGTGATAAATTTCATAATTTACTCATATTACTGAGCGATATCTCCTTGGGAGATACAAGGAAATCTCTTTACATAAATTATTTGGGGGATAAATCAAATCTCCTACTTGTCTTTTTTGTTATGTCACTGAAGTGTTAAGACCATGACTACATGTATGTGTGGTGTAATGGTCGAGACGACTCAAGAGTGAGACATTATAAATAAAACATGAATATTAATACTGCCATGGGACCTTATATGTCGAGTGCTGTTTCAATATATTATGCATTGTCTTGCCCGGGACCAGAACTTAAAAATACAGATACACTAACCCGCACGTCCTATATTTCATTTGGTATAAATAATTTACGAGTCGATCGGTACATTGCCACACATTATTTGAAATAATGGTATGTCAACATCAAAGGATGTTGCTTCATATGTTTTTTAATAACTTATAAGTGATACACCATTGGGTTTGTGTATTCAGTAGTGATGGGTGTCATAAAGAGTCACACTTTCACACTCAGTAGTGTTTACAGTTGGTTATAGTTATACACCTGCTAATTAATGACAGTTACTAATCACTTTCTATATCATTATTAAATATTAACTTAAGAGTAATGATCACTTGTAATTGTATGATTTAATGTGAATAATTGGAATTAATAGGCCTTTGTTGGTCCATGTATCATTTCTAATTACTTTCTAAACATAATAATAAATAAATATTAGCTTCGACTAAATTGATCACTTGTATGCATTAATGCCACACAAGTAGTAAAAAGTGAGAGAGAGAAATGGGATTTAACATCTAGATAGTAATTTCGGGACTAACACATAGTTCAGTTTTATTTCGATAATTTTAGCTGTGGGAGGATATAAATGGTATATTTTTACAAAGTGGGTGTAGGACGATTATGGTGACTGGTATTACACCAGAGTTGAAAATTTAAAAAATTCCACTACTCACACTTCTTTAACTTCTCCAACTTTATTACCAGGTGGACTTTGGATTTCCATCTCTTGAAGATAACAACACCACAGACAACTTCCTTGACATCTAAATGGTCTGTGTAACTGGATTAAGGGCTGTTCGTTAGTATCTGTAATATTCATCACGAAGGGTCGAGCTGTACCACACATCTGTCGTGTACAACAATCAGTATCTAATAAAAGAGAAATGTGATTTTAAATGCCCATTTTACACAAACTATATATGATTTCATTTTTATTCCATTATTGGTCTGCATTCTGCAGTACAATAGGGCACCTGTCGCAATCAGACACAACCGGCAAGTCTAGAAATACAGCTAATTCAAGTGCGATAACTACATGTATGGCAGTAATTACAGGAAATAGGTTTCTTCATTTACTGACCATAAACACTGTGTATAAATAATTTAAAGTCAATCGGATGATACATGTAACTTTAGCCTCTAAAACTAAAAAATATTTTAAAGTTATCAAGGACAGTTATTATCGGAAATTGCTCAAAATCAATAGGATTCACTGTATCTGAAATCAATCGGATGACCATTTTAGCTTCTTTACCGTCCACAAGATTTTTTAAGAAGTGATCATGGGCCAGAACTCTGGTGGCAATTATCGGAAATCGCTGAAAATTAGTAGGTTTATCCTATTCAGACCATAAACACTGTGTATAAATTTAAAGTCAATCGGATGATAACTCAAGCCCCTAGAGCGGCCACACACAACAACAATAGAAGACATTTCAATGTGAGCGTAACAAAAAGTAAAGGTGTTTGAAGTAGGCCTATATTTGGATAGTATGCAAAAGGGCAAGATGAGTAAAAGGCACCAACTCTGACAGTACCAGTTTGTGTTATGTCTGATGTACATACACAATGCAAGCGTTATCATTGTCAATGCTGCTTGTTGTGACATCACACGTAGACCTAAATACTGTGCGTGAACTTAACGGTCAATATTATCTTATACAGAGTTAAAAGAAAACTTTAGTTTCAAATTAGGCTGTGAAACAGATTGTTAGTAAATGTGATCACTTCAAGAAATATATACAAGAAGCTGAACAGATTTTATTTGCAATTAACTCCCTGTGCAATAGGGAGCTACGTACATGTACTTAAAAAAACTAATTGCACAATATAGGCATCATGTGACCTGACATAACCAATTCAATACATTTCCATTTTAAAAGAAATAAGTTGATAATTATAATTAATGTAAAAAAAAACCCCATCAATACCGGTACTTTATTTTCCAAAATTCATTTAACAAAGAAATAACAAGCACAAACCTTCTTTAGCAAACATAAACTGTTGCTCTCCTTCATTGCAAATACTATATCGGTTATTCTTTTCAAAACCAGTAATAACTGAAAATAAAACATTATATTATAATGCACATTCAATTATACATTACTAGAAGAATGTCCGGCTTCACTCGGGGGTCATAACCTCGAAACCGGAAGTGGTAGATGAACGCCACCTGGCCTATGTTACTCCCCGGTCCAAGCTACCCCTATACCCCAAATTTCAGACTCGGGGCAGACCTAGTGTAGCCGCCAACCCCGAACAGACAGACAAACGACAGTCACAAATATTAGTATAGATTTGAAAATGAAATTAATAATTTCGTCAGCCTTAGGCCTACTGTCATCAACACAATTTTAATATTGCGTGTGACTGAAAGTAAAAGCATGCCAACATGTACATTTAGTTAAAATAAACTAGCCTGGGAGTTGCATGTTTAAAACACTTACGGCTGGCCCCCGGGATCCATTCACTTAATTTGATTTGTTTATTTGGTGCAATGTCTATTTTCTGTCTTGTCCGCAGGTTTATCTTGTAGATTTTTGTTTTGCATGTAGTGCAGTTCTCTCGCACTTACTAATAGAGTCAAGTTGGCACTTAGAACATTCAAAATCAAGAGTAAAATAATAAGTAAAAATTTGTAATTAATAAATTTCATACAGCATGCCAATATAGAAAAGGATGACATCCTTAAAAATTAGTAGTAACCAAACCAAAGTGAAGCTAGCATTCTTGTGTTGTTAGATGGATCATGTGCTCGCAACAGCTGCAATGTTTGGAGTGAAGCGGAGACGTTGAACAAAGTTCAACTCCTTCACTTCGCTCCAAAATTGATCTGCAAAGACGTTATGATATGATGATCAACTTTGCCAGAAAGCTGGGCTTTGAAGGGATGCCGTTTTGAAGCATGCGACGGTACATAAGTATGCAAAGACAATTCTTGGCTTCACATACATGTATAGTTGTATACCGTATAGTTTAGTTATTTATACTTATACTATAGCACAAGTATAAATCTGCCTTAACAAAGAGTTTTATTAAACTAAAGCGTGAAAGTTGCTTAGAATAATAAGGGCATGCCCGGCAGGGGCATGGCAATAATTAGAAGCATTGTGACACCGACTTATGCAAAGAAATAAAAAAAATTAGTTTCCATAATCTGAATAATTATGAATTTTAACTCATCCAGACAGATTGCGTCTGATTAATATTCATTCATGAATCATTATCCAGAAGGTAAAAAACATTTAATATTCCATGGACAAATTTATTAAATGCCGTCAGCCTACTGTCGCTTTAAATGCTGGCAACCAACGAAACCGTGTGTGTTGTGCTTACATACAGTGTAAACAACCCCGTGTAGCCCAAGCCGCGGCTGCAGTTCTCGACATTGTGCACACTCTTCTATCTCTAGGCCTACTTTTTCGTTTAGTTCCTTGTTGTTGGTATCAAATTATTTGCTCCGTGTTATTGCGTAATTTCACCAATGGACTTACCTTCCAATAACTCTAAAATTTGATGTACTCTGACCTCGCTAAGTTGCGCCAAATAAGCCAACCCGGCCGGTAATCCTGCTGGCACGACAATATTTGGAGGGGGTGCGGCCATCATCTGGAATTGTTGGCCCTTTTCTCCAGATTGTGGTTGAGAAATAACGGTTCCACCTTGCGACATTTTGGATGTTAATTGTCAGTTCTTCCAAAGCTAAAAAGTCAAATCAATGGTTCCTTTCGATGGTACACAACGGACAGCTAGTAGTAGTACTGGTGTGCTATAATACACTATCAGGTCGGCTAGTCCACTCGTATCTTTTCTGGCGTTAGCGACGCCTGTTGTAAAGGGAGATAATTTGCTCGCGACACGCCCTTGAATTATACTCGAATCAAATCACTGTTCTTTTCTCATTTGACTTCACACTTACATTCAGCTGAAATTCTATGGATTAAAATCTTTTTACCCAAAGCGAACCCAATAATGATTAAGGCAAAATTACCGGCTAAATGTTAAGAAGACAAGTCCGGAGGAATGCCCGCCCCCATTAATTTGGCTGCAAGTACACCTTTCACCATGGTAAGCCTGATAAGGACAGATATCTAAACCTTCAGATGAGACGAAAAACCGAGGTCCCGTGTATATATTGGAATGCACGTAAAAGATCCCTTGGCAGTTGGAATTCGATATAAGAGTAGGCGATAGTGCCGCTGCCCGGGCAAAATTTCCTTCATAGCACACTGTATGGAGTATGCTATAGTCTTTATTAGCCCAGTCTAGGAGCAGAACAGTAGGACGTTAAACCCAATTTCATTTCATTTCATTTCTCCAAGTTATGGCACACAAGTTGCGATGGTCGCGAATAGTTAACTGGACAGTCGATCTTTATTTCAAGCCACTTCACTTCCGCCAGTTAAAAAAAAAACAAAAAAAAAAAACGGTTGCCAAGCAAGATGCCCACGTTTTGCAAGAAATGGGTGGGTAATGAATAGAGCTCATCCTCTCATTCAAGATAATTTGTTAAGTTTCACATGAATGGGACAACAGATGTAGCCCCTCATTTCGCGTAAAAAGGAGGGTGAAGCAGAAAAGTAGGACGTTAAACATTCATTTTATTTCTTGCAAATAATATACTCTAATGTCATTGCTACCGTTGTTACGATAATAAACAAAGTGTCAATTATCCATTTTTGCGGTTATATCATCAACCGCAAAACGCATTCAAATCTACTTAATATCGGAGGCATATCGAGCGTTGATTGTGATTTTGGTAAGTTAATTAATGTCTTATTAATAATTTATGTAACATTTAAGCCTAAAGAAACACCTACAATAGGCAGAGTTAGCTCTTGCACAATGCCTGTTTAAGTAGTACTTGGTTAAGATTATTAGTGTCTAGTTGAAGATGCATTATGTAAGATTTAAATAAAGGGCTGACCGTTATTGCTATAATAGATCAAAATAAGTAATTCAACGACAATATATTGAAAATTACATTCAAATTACTTTAGACAAGATACCACTGCTTGAAGTTTTCACAGGATGTAGGAAATATTGATTATTACCGTAGCAACGTTACTTGTTAAATAAAATCCTGCAATAGGAACATTTAGCTCTTATATTAAAGGGACAATAACACTCTTGCTGTCTTGACAGCTCCAGAAAATAAAGAAATAGCCTTATTCTAAGTACTAGATGTATTAGTGTCTTACATTTTGTGTAAATTATCCACTAAATCCTATTTTACTTGTCCAGAGGGTTCAAAAATATTTTTAAATCCAAGTCACATTTGAAAAGGTTTACGTTAGGCTTTTCAAATCATTTAGTTGAATTTTTCCAATTTTTTAAATTAGGTGTGTTAAGATGAAATTTATATCATCAATTAATTGGAATATTGTAAAATAGTTCAAATTGTTGATCAGAATAAAGATTGGGATATATTATTCAGATACAACAAGAGTGGTATTGAGCCTTTAAAGACTAGATAACAAACCTCATCTCTCAACATCAGTATATCTGATTCCCCGGTTGTACGTGACAAGGAGTAGGGTCGCCTGTCCAACCTCGTGGGTTTTCTCAGGGGCCTCCGGTTTCCTCCCACTGCTAAATGCCCCTACGCGCAAGCGAATTATTGAAATATAAATGAACCGTGTGTTAGTCCCGAATGGACCTAGTTTGTGTCGAGTGGACGTTAAACCCCATCTCTCTCTCTCCCCCTCTCTCCCCCCCCCCTCTCTCTCTCTCTCTCAGTATATCTCAACGTTTTTAGCTACGTTCTCGTAGCTAATTAAAGAAGACGTATTCTACTTAAAATTCACAATACGAGCTTCGTCATTTATATTAACTACATTATCCCAGTCGGTGCAGAATAGTAGGACGTTAAACCCAGCTGTATTATATAATTGATGTTTGTCTTTCTTTTAAAATTAAAATCATAATCAACTGGTAGCTAAAGACACGGGTTTTGTATAGATTTCAGCCTACGAATTTTATAAGTGTCTAGCTCACCCATAAGAATGCACGGTCGGATATTTCCACTGTTAGCCATGTTGATATTGTAAATATATATTATGCCAGTATTGATTAAAACGTGTTCCAGAATTTCGCGAATTTTAATGATTGTAGAATCTACCTCTATAATGTTTGTAAGGGATTCTGAATTTCTGTTCTTTACGGACGACTTGATATAATTTCTTTGCCTGCTCTTCACAATTGGGAATCTGTATTTTATATCATGTGGCCCATCTCGGCTCCTGCGAAAAAGGGGTAAAATAATGAATACATGCAACATGGCGAGAATCCTATACACGTTTAAGAACTCCATGCAAATCATGGGTCCGTTAACGGATTTGCACTAGGTGTGGGGACGCCTGCACAACCCATATTCCGGTCTTACCAAACGTAACACAGCAACGAGTATGGCATTTCTAGTTCACGGTATCACGTCTTAGTCCCACCTGGGCTAATGAAGGCGGGAATATTATACGAGCTTCTATTAAACAGAGGTAAATATTATATTTACACAAACCTGTGTCATTTAATAAGAAAAAAGAAGAAACATTTAAGGGCTCTTATCAGTATGAACTGTTGGTGCTTAAACAATTCACCTATATATTTGGAATATTGACCATATGTTTATAACCAGGCATATCTTAATTAAAAATAGCCTTATCGAAAATCAAATCACTAACCTAGCCAGCCGGATCAAGGCCTTTTACGAGCGTCGGTGAAATTCCTTGACAACAACTAAATTGAAAGTGAAAACGCTTATATTTTGCAGCCATGGGTTAGCAGATTTGTATCAAAGTTTGGTATACATGCATAATCTAATCTGATATCACCACGACGTCTGCCATGTTGCGTATAGATGTTTAAAGGTGTTAACTTTCTTTGATTTAGGTGAAAGAAAAGGTATTTAATTGGATTAATCTGAGGTGTTATTTCGATTACTGATATGACAAAATCTATACGATAAAATTTTAATTTCCAAATATTAAGCAGAAAGTCAGTTTAGCCTTGTTTTTGGCTTAAGTTGTCTACAGTGGAAGATAAACTTTGTTGTATCTCAAAGTTGGATCTATCTGTGGGTCTAAAATTTTAGGCAAGGAACAACGTCTAGTCGTTCGGAAGCGACGGAAAACCAAGGCCCTGTGTAGACGTTGGTGTACACGTAAAAGAACCATTGACAAATGGAATTTGAAATAAGAGTGGGATGTGGCCCGCTGCCCGAGCTAAAAATTCTCCATAGCAGATCGCGTAGCCTATGGCCGTCTTTGTTAGCCCGGTTAGAGAAGAATAGGAGGACTTTAAACTTAATTATTTTATATCATTAGCCAGAGTGATGCAGAAGAATAGGACGTTTAACCCCATTTGCATTTGTAAAAGTGGAGAGAGAGAAAGAGAGGGAGGGAGAGAGAGAGGGGGGTGTTTAACGTCCACTCGACACAAACTAGGTCATTTTAGGACTAAACATATTGTTCAATTTTATTTCAATAATTCGCTTGCGCGTAGGTGTCTTTATCAGTTGGAGGAAACCGGAGGATCCGGAGAAAATCCATGAGGTTGGACAGGCAACCCTACTCCTTGTTGCGTACAACCGGGGAATCGAAACCTCGCCAGTTGACTCAATGACAGACCTTATGATACAACGCACACGCGCTAATCATTCGGCCATCCACCCCACCCCTCCCTCCCGTAAAAGTCTAGATTGTTAATAAGACTGTAGCGTCGCAGTCCGGGCAGAAATATCCAACATAGCATAACCGTCTTTAAAATACAGATGTGACGTCATCCTTTGATATTGGCGTACCATTATTTCAAATAATGGTACGGTAATGGTACGGGCAATGGGCCAAGCGTACATTATTTATACTAATTGTTAAATTGGACCCGCGTGACGTATTTCATTGAAATGCACGTGCTGGATAGGTGTCAGTATTTTAAGTTGTTTACTGTCTTGCACTCGACCATTAAACCACTCTTATTAGTCCGGTTCGAACAGAAAAGCTAGGGCCTGTTTCACCAAATTTTAACTAAGATAAAATCAAAATTTTAGTAATTTGATTGGATAACATTAGATTGATTTTAGTGCTTAGCCAATCAAAATTGAAGTATATACTAAAATTTGAATTTTATCTTTAGTTAAAATTTCGTGAAACAGGCCCCAGGATGTTATCCCTCATTTCATTGCATTAGTCTGGATGTTGTAGAAGGATGAGACATTAAACGCCATGCACTTCCTTTGTTTGTAATATAGTGTAGATTATATCTTAATGTTAGGACTGCAGCGTCGGAATCCGGGCAGAAATATCCAACATTAGCGGCTGACCCGGGTGGTACAAGTTAAGAAATTATTGTAGATTATATGCTAATACTTATCGGTCAGATAATAATATGTTATGCTATATAAAGACTGTTGAGCACTTCAATTCATGACTATTAGACCTTATCGTGACCTATTTAACATCGTGTCATCAACAAGTATAAACTATACCCGGGATAAAACGTGCTTGTTTTCATAGATGAATTACTTGACATTCGCTAGTTTAAGCCTTGTGGCTCTCGGTCTGTGTATTCTCAACGTCGATGCATCTATCCCGAAGCTACTGGGCTCCTTTAAGCTAGAGCACCCGGGCTTTACAACCGTGTTCCGGAACCAGACTGGAAACATCACAACGTATGACTTGTTGGTCTCTTCATTCAATGCAGTGCCATTATCTACCGATGGTGCCTACATTGTTCGAAATATTGGCAGATACCTGTCCAATATTGCCGCCATACGTCCAGAACTCATCACGAGTCAAGTAACATGGCCCAATGAAGTTGCACAAGTTCCAGGTAAACTGATATTTTAGTCATTAAATAAAATGAAATATGGATGAAGCGAGGGAGAGAAATGAGGTTTAACGTCCACTCGACACAAACTAAGTCATTTTGGGACTAACACATGTATCAATTTTATTTCAATAATACGCCTGCGCGTAGGGGTATTTAGCAGTGGGGGGAAACCGGAGGACCCGGAGAAAACTCACGAGGGGATGAAGCAATTGCAAAATCTGTCTACTACTATACGACCCTGCGGGGTAGGTCTATATATACTTGCTCTTTGTAGAACACCCGATTCCCCGGTTGTACGTGACAAGGAGTAGGGTCGCCTGTCCAACCTCGTGGGTTTACTCCGGGTCCTCCGGTTTCTTCCCACTGCTAAAGATCCATACGCCCAAGTGGATTATTGAAATAAAAGATTGAACCATGTGTTAGTCCCGAAATGACTATAGTTTGTCTTCAGTGGACGTTAAACCCCATTTCTCTCTCCCTCTAGAACACCCGATACCACTTCACACATCTAACTTCTGGAGTCCTATATAGTGTTTTTCCTCACTGCAATGTTATGTGGGCGGTAGACAGGTTCTGCCTCTGGGGTTTAACTATTAAAGTGGTAGGATACGTCTTAAGACACAAGTCAGATCGTTTACATGTAGCTCAAAAGTTCAAGATATGTACTATTGTATTGTAAATATATTTGTTATTGTGTTATTATTAAAAGCTCAACCAAGTGTAAGGTTCCCGAAGAAATGAATGGCTTGTATGAAACAGATACCACACTATTATCGTTATATTTGTTTAAGGGCAAAATAAAGCCAGGCTGACACTTGCACGACTTTTGGCCACGATTTTGTCGTGGCAAGTCGTGCCATTTTGGGTCACGAACTGGGAGGCTCCCGCACTGTTCACGACTAGTTCACGACGAGTTCCCGAATGCGTGCCTATCAGTGTCCACATTGACACGAACTGGCACGACGAGTTCGCGCATAGTTTGCGCATAGTTTGCGCACTTCCCGCATTGGCACGACGAGTTTACGCAATTCGGACGGTGTCGTGCCGACTTGGGCACGCCATATAAAAAGAGGGCCTCCCCAACCCCTGGTCATTTTTGGATTGGCTGTGGAAGAGACAACATGCTGAATGTCAGAGACACAATCATTGCAGGGAAGAGAAGATGCTTATACCTGGCAGCTGCCACGCACTGGCACGCATCCTCCCGCATCGTCCCGACGAGTTCACGAACAGTTTGCGCATAGTTCACGACCCGGTCGCTAAATTATGTCGTGACCAAAATTTTGAACATTTCAAAATTCTCGTCCCGACATGGCACGCAGTCACGACGGGTTTACGCACACTTCACGCCAGTTTACGACGAGTTTGCGCACTGCCACAGAATCGTGCAAGTGTCAGCCTTGCTTAAGAAATCATCTGTGTTTACGGTAACCCGACCGACGATCCTAAGCCGTTGCTCTCATTTCCCAGGCCCTATAACTAGACCTTGTCCTGATTTTCTCTGGAAATTCCAACACTGCAATTTATGTTTTATTTTTAAGATCCTTACTCAGTGATTAAGCTAAAAATGCTAGGAAATAGATAATACAAACCTCCGACCGACGTAGAGCCAAGTAACCGAAAACACAGGTATTTTATTTTCTTGGCCTAATACACGTATGACAGTGTAACGTTATAATATACAAATATAAACTTCGTCATAATAAAAACTATAGAGCTTTCCATACAGCCATTATCAGAGATGCATTAGGCACTAAAACTTTAATATGACAGTTGGAATTCAGAAGGGGTAGGGTCCGAATTGATTAACGCGTGCGCGTTAGGTCACAAGAACGAGGGGGTTTCTCCGGGTACTCTGGTTTCTTCCGCTACGGGCAAGCGAATTATTGAAATAAAAATGAACCATAATATGCTGGTCCCGAAATGACCTAGTTTGTGTCAAGTGTACGTTAAACCTAATTTCTCTCCATATTTCTCTCTTTCTGTTTGGAGCTACTGTAGTAGGGTGAATTACGACCCGATAGTAAATGTTTAATCTATCGTGCTAATCCGCACAATATTACTTAATTCAGTAAACTATATTTTAATGGATCTTAATCCACCTTAATTACCCTTTTATTTATATCTACTTAATATTGTCTTATATATATATCTCCTTAATCACCCGTCTCCAGTATTCTTTGTATTACACTTTAAATTAAGCTTATAAATTATAATTAACGTCTACGGGCTAAAGCGTTTTAAGTTACCATGGTGTGTTGTTTGTATAGACGATAGATTTGTAGGATATATAGACCCAAATAACAGAATTAAAAGGGTGGGCATTCCCTGCTAAGACACTATGTCTCAAATTACACTGGACCAAGCCTAATCCATACGGCTTCCTCCAGTAAGTTTCTTAGGAATCATCCTTGTCTACGATATCACCTTAGGTGGAAGTGGACGTAAAACTCCAGAAACGAACGAACGAACGAATTAAAAGGGAACTTTCTAGAAACCTATCACAAGGAGATCAACTTCAGATCACATCCCGAAGGACAGACTTGATTTACCTGTCTTTGAATATTTCGAGACAAAAGTTTATATCAATTCCCATAAGCACTTTGGAGTATTGAACCAATAATTGTTACATTAATTGTCTGCTGTAAGTTATGTTGATTATTGTTAACCAAAGAATAGAGAAATATTAGCAACCAACAAAAGTCTTGTTTTCATTGATCCAATCACGAGAATTCAAGAAAATACATAAGGATTCCACTTGTACACTACTTTCATTTTAACCCTGTTTTCCCAGTTTACGCTATACAACAGAACTTGGTAGTCATTTGATTAAATTGATAAGCATTGGAGAAAATATCAAAATAGTCATGTCATATTTCTTATCAGTAGTAATCTTTTGGGTTTTATCTTTCTTCAGATCTAAACTAGTTTAACTATACAACGATTTGTTACAGAAAACCAGTTCTTGATGTTTTGCCGTAATTTATGTGGACTTTAAAATCGAAACGTTGGCTGGTGCGAATAGAAATACCATTTACGAATGCATGACAACATTCGCCATGATATTTTATAGTTAGATGTTTTAAATATTGCTTGGTATGATTTGTTGATTGCTGGTGGGCGTAGCCTGTTATGGGGGACCGAATGTCGAGAAATTTATTTTAAGAGATCGCTGTAATACATTTAGCTTTTATGTTTGTCCTACAGCCATAAAACATATAATCCTTGAGTGGCATTTAGCGATTGAACACATTAAAAACACAACACGGTTAAGATAACGATAAGAGAATACTTGTCTAAACGTCGTGCTATGCCTATAAACCAGTGATTGTATTTCCATATAAACTGTGTTGTGTATTTAGCCATAAAGCAGGTTATACAGTCGGGCAACTGAGACTACATAACTGGGACTGCATTACATAACTTAGTTGTCTGTTTAAAGGAGATAAATCCCTAACTCTATATTTTCTAGAAAATTCGGAATTAAAAACACGAATTAAAATTTAATATTGGTCCATTTCAATCACAACTGATGTTGTTATCTTGCCATGAAAGTATTGGATCCTAATATCCAATATTAAAGACATAATGAACATTTTTAAATCAGTACATGTATTTTTTATGGTTTCGAAAACCATTTGTAATGAACAAAGAATGGTATATCCTAGGAGACAATGCAGAAGTAGTTAGTACTGACTGATTCACAAACGACAATATAATAATAAAAAAAATGTTTAGAATTTACTAAACAGGCTTAATGACTATCGCTGAATTTGGACTGTTCATGTATTTCACCGAACATACTTGATTAGAAATTACAATAAAGATTTTTAAAAATTGAATTTAACTCCCTCTATATACATTCATATGACATGTATGTGCTTGAGACAAATTATATGTGCTTTAAGACTAATTTACGTATGATTCTACTATAGTTCGTTCGTGAGGTATTCTGCACACGTTCCACTGAGAGTGATGTCTTTCATCTGGCGGGCGTAAAAAAAGATAATTACCTAATCAACATTCTTAATCCCACTAACACTCACTGCTAACACCAACTTGAAATTAATTTATGACCCATGCCTGTATAACATTTATAGTCGGATTGATTAATTAATGACAGATATTAACGACACTACACTTTATGTGGAAAAGCGAAGTGCTCGCAGTAAAAACCACATAACTGGACCCGTATATTTTTTACATATTGTAAAAAATTAATTAAGAGTTCAGGACTTAAAAGTTGTAGGCACTCTAAATTGGATCTTAAATTAAAAAAAATTACAAAACAAATTATTCCGTAGTCAATTGTTTTATTTAATTAGGGGGATTAAGGAATCCTTCAGGCGTTAAAGAATACACACGCCGGCTGTATATAGGTAATTAAGGAATAAACATTCCGAATATGCATTCGGTCACTGTGACGTCACTGGCGTCTGAGGGGATTAAGAGTGTTTTCGATAATTGGCAAAGCCGTTAATATGGAAGGTCTATTTTTACGACTTTGAATGAAGATAACTGAATTAATTTCAACCAGATTGGCGTGAACTTGCCGTAAAGTGGATATAGTAACCATTGGCTACACGTATCTCAAATCTTCCGGGACCATCTTATGTGCACTTTAAGATCTAAGGATTTCCATGTAGAAAATACATTATATTATAATAGCCTATTTTTTATACCCACGCAATATACCCTTGCACATTGAATTCCGCGACTAAGTGATATAATAGACCTATTATATACAGTGAAAGAAAATTACCCGAAATGCTCCAATACCGGCAAACAGGTTTTTTTTAATAACATGTCATGTACAGGTATACATTTCTAAGTTCAAGGTCGTCTGAAAAGTGCTTAAAGAGACATATAGATGGTTAGATCTATTTGATAAGGCCATCTTTAAGTTTGGTCAAAGGTCACGATATGTAAACAGGTCTAACGATAATCTTAACCCTAACGCTTACCCTAACCCTAACCTACAATCTCCCAACAATCAAGTGCCCTAATCTTATTTACATCTCAGCGACCTTTACGAAAATTGAGTTGGCCTTGACAAATAGATCTAGGCAAAGATAGATCGATCTGATTAAAATACAGACCTGTTTCTCGTTTTTTTTTATACTTGTTAAATAGATCTAAATTATTTTCTTCAAGATATTATTATTAAAATCTTTTATAACGAAATCAAATGAAATGGGGTTTAACGTCCTACTGTTCTGCTCCGACTGGACTAATGAAGACTGGCGTACGCCATAGTGTGGTGTGAGGAAAATTTTGCCCGGAAAACGGCGCTACGGCCTACTGCCGAGGGATCTTTTACGTGCAAGCCAATGCCATGTGTATACGGCACCTCGGTTATTCGCCCCACCGAACGACTATACGTTGTCAATTGCTAGGCCCTCGGGCATTGCACCACTGATGGCGGGGCGGGGGGGGGGGGTGATCACTCCGAAAGATCCCAATGAACTTTCTCGGCCAATGAAGGGATCGAATACGGGAACTCCAGGTTAGCGAGAGAGAGAAAGAGAAATGGGGTTTAACGTCCACTCGACACAAACTAGGTCATTTCGGGACTTACATATGGTTTAATTTTATTTCAATAATTCGCTTGCGCGTAGGGGTCTTTAGCAGTGGGAGGAAACCGGAGGAAACCTACGAAGTTGAACAGGCGACCCTACTCCTTGTCACGTACAACCGGGGAATCGAAACCACGCCAGTTGACTTAATGACAGACTTTATGATAAAGCGCACACGCTAACCATTCAGTCATCCAACCCCCCTCCAGGTTAGCCAGCCAACGTCTTTTTTAAATACCTGGGGCATGGATCCATTCAACGTGGGTTTGTATGAAAATGAACTTAAGAAAATTGGTTATTGATATGGTCTAAGCGATATCTTCAGCTTAACATTTCTTTTCAACTTGTCAACTTTCAAGAAATGATAGAGAGAGAAATGGGGTTTAACGTCCACTCGACACAAAATATGTCATTTCGCGACTAATAAATGGTTCAATTTTATTTCAATAATTCCCTTGCGCGTAGGAGTCTTTAGCAGTGGGAGGAAAACGGAGGACCTGGAGAAAACCCACGGGCTTGGACAGATGTCTTCCTGTGGGTCCAAAGTCCACACAATTTTTTTTTAAAATGCATTATTTAAAGAAATTGATATCTATGACACGCCCTCGCAGTTGAGAAAAACATTCAATGGGGAAAGTGTTACCGGATGATCTGGAAACGACTTATGTTATCGTCCCAGAACGTAACATTCACTACGACCCGTCTTATCCATAGACATTCAAAGCCGACCAAAAATGAGTGGACGTGACCAATGTAAAATCTGCGAGAACTGTTGTAGCGTAAAACCCAATTTTGTTGCAAAAGTTGAAGATTACTTGAAAAGGTGCTTGACACGTGTTCAGTTGTGATTAGTTTACACGTGAAAGAATGCGGCATTCATAAAACACCTCCGTATTGATTAATTTTCTTAGTTCATCATTGCACAACAAGTTGGTGTTGACACTGATTTCACAGGTCATAGCCTAAATATGATGTCATTTCCCCTAGAAATTGAATGTGTTCGCACAAAAATATAATATATTGATTTGGGCCGTCAATTGTGTTGAAGAATCCAATATTAAAGACTTTTTCAATACGAAATAAAATAAAATTTATAAAATATAATATATTGATTTGGGCCGTCAATTGTGTTGAAGAATCCAATATTAAAGGCTTTTTCAATACGAAATAAAATAAAATTTATAAAATATACTCTTAAAAAAAAGAGACGCATAGTGACATTTCGTCGTCGGTACCCCCACTTTACCATTGCCTCGTTGCAACACGAACTGCGACTCGTCGCTGAACCAAACTGTTGCTGTGACCATACCCTGTGTGTCTGAACCCATTAAGTCGGATTTGACGGTGTCGGCGTATTTCAAAACAGCAGCTCTAACGGGGCGTCTGGCTCGTAATCCGGTCTTACGTAGGCGGTTACAGACTGTCTGGTCTGAGATCCTACGCCGCCCAGGAATTGCTGCTGCAAATGATGTAACCGGATGTGACAATCCAGGGTAGGTGGAGTCACTCTTTTGGCCTGATCATGGGCGGTCACATGTTGAACTTCGCTGTCGGTATCTATCCAAAGGCGACAGATTGTACTCTGGGAAACATTCAGCAGCCCGGCTACATTCTCTCTGGGATTCACTTTCTTGTAACCGCCCGATTGCGTTGTTGCGTCGGGTGTTTACATGTGCATCTAATTCTGAAACCGAGAACCCTGGGATTTTAAAGGCCTTAGATTTGGGTTTCATGCGAAAAGCTTGCGAAGTTAACCTCTTTCATGTGTCTTGGTAACAACCAAGCGAAAACAAATTTCGGCAAAATGTATACCCAGTCACTATTAGTGACCCTACATTTAAAACCAATAATTCTTACATAATAACAAGTAAGATTTATGTAAACAACGATCCCGTTCAAATAAAAAAAACCGATGAAAAATGTGTATATTCTAGATGAACTAATATTTTTTTTTTTTTTAAAAAGTATCGTTTACCCGAACACATGAAGTGTGGGCGTTGGATAGATTAAGGATATCTATTTAAACATTTTTTTTTGTTTTATGTTTTAAAGATGCTGTCTTCGGTACATCCACGATATCAATTGCTGGTGGATTTTTGGTACCTTTTAAAACTAATGGCGCCATAAAGCTCGCAGATATTACGAGCCAGGCGAGTATTAAAGGACCCTATGATATCACAGCTGGAAGTAGTAAAGACTGGTTTTACCATAAAGTACAATGGGTTGATATGGATAAAGATGGCGACCTAGACATTTTAACTTGTAGAGCCAGAAAACCTATATTTGGTATATCATCTTTATTGATTGTTGATACGGTTAATGATGCATTATATAAGAGTTAGATAAAGAGCTGTCCATTTTGCTATACTAGTTTAAAAATAGATAATAAAAAATGAATACATTGAAAATTTCAGTCCAATTACTTTATTCTCGGCGACTTTATAACAAGACATTCGGGATTGTCAAGTACTAATGCTAAGATTATAAACAAATTTTCGATTATCCAGTTTATCGTTAAATTATATACATTAAATGGCGAAAATGTTCTAATCCGTTTCATACCTAAGCCATCCGATCTTCTTGAGGGTTGATTATAGGCGTGTCATGTGAATAAATGTCTAAATAATAATTTAAATCTAGAAGATAGACTGCAATAGGCAGATTTAGCTCTTACATAAAGCTCCTTTAAACAATGTTATTTTGAACTTAACAATTACAAGTTAATATATTCGAGATAAATATGATTCGATTTCCAACTAAACAATTCATAGGTTTTCTATTTGAAGACTGCCATTTGCTCGATAGGTCACTCTATTCTAATCAATTTTTACACTTTCTACTTGGATTAAATGAATTTTGTCCCGAAATGACCGTTTTGAATGGACGTCAAACCCGGCATCTTTCTCTTTTCTATATTTAAAGGATCTTCTGAAGGACAATTACTTTGGTTAGAGAATCCAACAAACCACAGTATGCAGGATCCATGGAAACAACACGTGTTGGGCGAGGGGCCAGATATATTCTTCCACCATTCTGTATTAAATAGTTCTGGGATTCCTACAGAGTTTATATTCACTTCCGGTTATTTTTCTAAAGCTCTTTCCGTCTACTACCTCACTTCCGGAAACACATGGACAGATCCGTCGATGGTACATATATAGATTTAATGTTGATAGTTGGTTGTCCGGGGATGCACAGGGGCGTTCTGGTGGGACTGAAAACAAAACGAGGTTGACGTGCACGTAAAAGAACCTTTGACAGATAAAATTCAATGAAGATTATGCGAAACTTCTCCTCCGACCATAGAAGAATATAACTGTATGTTAGTATTCAAATGATAGTCGTTCGAATGGGACAAAAACATATTGGCGTGCACGTAAAAGAACCCTTGACAGTTGGGGTAGGTCGGAGCGCCGCAGTCCGGGCAAAATGTATGCCTTCCTCCTTAGTCTAGTAGGAGCAGAACAGAAAGACAACCCCATTTCTTTTCATTCCAAGTCGTCCTCGTTGGACCCTGTTTTATTCCTTTGTTCATTTAGATACCATTCACATGTCTGTCAAAGGTGCAGATATTTCCATGTTTTCTTTTTTCATGATTTTCAGGTAAAATCACGAGTAATTGATTCAACAATTGGAGGAGTGTTTGGTGTGGATGTTGTAGATATCAACCAAGATGGCGTTCAGGATTTACTGGTAACCACTAACAACGAGCAGGGTAATGGTGGAACAGTCCTGGTTTATACTGTACCATCAGATGCTAGGTAGGAACACTGGTCAGATAACGAGGGTGAAGGGATGGAAGGGGCGGGACTTATTGGTCAATTTAAATCAACATTGATGGTGTTATCTTGCCATGAAAAGATGGACGTCTGATATCTTATATTTAAAACAAAATAAAATGTTGAAATTGGCACACGAATGGCGTCCTAGAATGCTTTCGAGTGCCATTTGTAATGAAACGACTCGATGAACGAAGCTCACAGGAGAATACAACCGGTGTACACTTAAACTTGACTCGCTGAACAGAACTGATTAGAAATTATAGTAAAAACAAAAACGATTGAATGTAAATCATTAAATGCGTTGCGACCCATTTGTGTTCATTTCTAGTTGCCAAAGAATAGAGATTTAGCTCCTCCAATTTTTATACGCCCACATTTTCATGTGGACGTATATTGTCGTCGCCCCTGTCCGTCCGGACGTCCGTCTGTCCACAATTTGTTTGTGGACACTCTACAGGTCACAATTTTTATCTGACTGTGACGAAACTTGAAATATAGGTCTATCTCCCAAAGATCTCGATTCGATATTGGCATGTATCGGACTATAACATAACGTCATGGATAAAGGCCCCTGATTGTACGAAAAATTACGTTTTTAGCTTGTGGACACTCAAGAGGTCACAACTTTGATTCGATTTTGATGAAACTTAAAATGCATGTTTATAACCCAAATATCTTGTTTCTTTTCGATATTCGCGCATATCGGATCGTAACCTCCTGAATTATGGCCCTTGATTGTACAAAAGATCGCATTTTGAGCTTGTGGTCCCTATAGAGGTCACAATTTTTATCCGATTTAAAAAACAGAAATGTGTGAAAATATCACAGTTATACACTAACGATGGTTTAGTTCGGATTTCGTTAAAATCGGACTAAAACTGAAGGACATAATGGCCGCCCCTTGCACGCAAATAATGTAAAAAATATGGTATATCAAGGTTGAGGACCCTCTAGAGGCCACAGTTTTTATCCGATTTGGATGAAACTTTAAATACATGTATATGTTTTTATCATAAAGATCTTGGTTCCTGTTGATAATCACACATATCCGAACGTAACTGCCTGGATTATGGCTCCTGATTGGTCGAAAAATCGCATTTTTAGCTTGTGGATTCTCTAGAGGTCACATTGTTTTCCGATTTTTTAAAAAAAAAACTTTTAGATATCACCATTCCACCGTAATGAAGGTTGAATTGGAATTTCGGGAAAATCGAAATAAAAGTGCCCGACAAAATTAATACAAAACCCGACACTCATGTAATTCAATTGGAACTTTAAAACAAATTTTAAAAAAAGTTATATAAGACACCAATCATTGGTTTATTATACACAATCACGACGTTATCGTTATCAAGCACAGATAACATTTAGTAAACTTGAAGGTCTAGGCTATAATAATAAAAAATACGACCGGGTAAAAAATTCTCCACTTTACTTCATTATGACATACGTTAAATCATATAAGCTAGCTGTTTGCCCTCTATAGGCGTCTTCAGATATTAATAATGTATACAAAATATTGATCGGAACCGAATTCTTAAGTTTTGATTCTAACTCAAATCGTCTTATTGCTTATTATTTATATTAAGAGATTAAAGTCATAAGATCCGTTATTAACACATCTATTTCTATATTCAATTACACCACAATACGCCAGGGGGCAGCTCGTTCACATCTATCAAGTGTCGCGATGATTACGTGCACTGTTAGTGACGAGAACGTAATATGTGTATTGTAATAGTTTATTAATCTCTATAACTATTACTTTGTGCTGGGCATCATTATATAGCATAAAATAACAGTATATTAGAATTTTAAAACTACCCCTACCCCACCCCATACAAAATTACCGCCACCAACATACTCACAAAAGAAATCACAAATCTACCCCCATCCATACACAGAAAACTACTACCCCCCCTCCCCCTGAACACTACTCCTACCCCACAAAAACACCCCCACCCGCAACATACCCCACACAAAACTCCCCCACCACACCCACCCCCTCCCTCACCTTACATAAAAACACAAAAGAAAACACTAAGCAATATCGATCTTATAACAATCGTGCCGGTTAAATAACTTATTTGTTGCAGGAATGGTTCTTCAGTCTTAAATACCGGACATTTATGGGGATATACGGTAACTCGAATGATTTAGTATTTTAGATAATATTATTCACGGGGATATTAACGCTCAGAAATTTGCTTCCTAAACATTTTTTGTGTGGTTTTTATTTTCAAAATAATGGAATATTGAATGATTAAGTATTTTAGATAATATTTTTCATCCATTTCGGGGTCCTCGAGGATGCGTCGTATTTCGACGTCTAATTCAGAAACTTTTCTCACAGAGGGTGGCTGTAATATCTGGGGTTTAGGTGTTTGCAAATTTTCCAGCAAACTCTCGGGTACTAGAGCCATCTTTTTAGTAAATTCCATTACAACCCGAATATTTTAGGTACCACACTCCCTAGAATCCCTACCAGAGGTGCTAGCAAGCTAGCAAGAAATCCACCCCCTCTGCAGGATTTTTTTCTTCTGTTTCAGGGCGACTTTACGGTCCGCTAAATGTCTTAGACTACGTTTGTGTTTCGACAATCGTTTCTTGTGGTATGCCGAGAGTCGAACTCTCCCTTTCAAGATGTTAAGACAACACTCACACAATGCGTCAATGACTGGTTTACTTGCGTTTTTAATAATATGTATTCGCTGTCTTGGTTTGACCCGCTTGAGTGCTTGTAATAGCTTGGCGTGACGATCTAGACCATACATTATCTATTTTCGGACAACTGTGTGTAGGTACAGTCGAAAATCAATTGCTTTTATACCTTTGGTACGTACACCGTGGGGTTATCCCTAGGGAAAATACTACTCCGAAGTCTCAAAAGGTCGGGGTTTGTACTCTTCAAATCGAGAAATAAATACGAATAGGGTTTCCTTGTAGCGTCCTCGTAACTTTCACGAACAAAATTAGTTTTCCCAGGGTACATCTGCTTGGCTAATTGCGTTATAGCAGACATGTCTCGAGGGTTCTTAAATATAATCATGTAATGGACATTGAGACTGATCGTCCTGTGATGTTTACCTTTATGAAACAGATTTTGAACAATATAAATGACGGAAGTATTTTCGTGGTGACTTCCGCGGGTAAAGAGTTTTGATACTTTGTCCGTTGTCTCGTCCATCAAATCATCAATGATCAATAGTGTTCTTTCCTTGGGGTTTAGACTAGAGGATAACCCTTCGACAAATTCTACGATACCCGCTAATTCTTCGTACAAAGGTTGCCAAACACCGTAACACCACACGATACGATCTATGGGTTGATCGACAACTTGTGGTAGTTCTAGAATCAAGCGCCTGACCAATTGACTCTTACCCGATTGTGTGGGCCCTGATATCATACATGTAAATGGGGTCTTTAGCCTTACATCCATTTCGTTAGCCGGGGTAAAAATAACTAATTCCATTTAAAAATGTTTAATCTTTTATTATATCAAAGTACAAATGTAATACATATAGAAAATGAAAATTATAATCATAAAAAAAAAAAAAAAAAAGTTATTTAGTCAACGTGTGAACACATTCTAGGATTTGAGGTTTCCAAAACAACGTTGCGTGTAGAAACAACTCTTCGCTCTGATCGCGAATCTCTGGGACGAATCGTGCTATCTGTAAAAAACGATCTTTATTCAACTCTAGAAAACAGGATTCGAAGTACAAGTCCACAAAGTTGATTTCATCGAACCAATAGTCGATCCCCAGACATGTATGTTCAAGCTGCCCTCCACGACCGTTGAGACAACCTTCACAGCAACCGGTTACACTTTTTGAAATCTCCGTGTTGATCATGTCTCCCAATATTTGCACAACTAACGTACGTATATTTTCGGCAGGACAGTAATGATCGTCATTGACATGCATAGGTTTTGAGCACATGGTGCACGGTACGAGGTGTGTAACGTGTTCCTCCGCATCTACAAGATCCTCGTGGAAGATGAGTTGATTTTCGGCGTAGACCCCTTCTACGCGTACTTCCGTGCTGTAGCAATCAGGCTGGTCCCATCCTTCATTGTTTGCTGCAGAAACACATTCCTCTGGAGTATTGTGCCACGTCTGTCCAGATTTTAACAAACTCCAATCCTTTACCCCGAGACCCGACTTGGCAGGCGAACAACCATACACATGATAACGACCGCGCTTGAACGATCTTGTAACTCGAGACACGCCCGTTAGGTCGGAAAAGGTTTTTTCGGGTATCACCAATTGTCTACCATTTTTTCTCTCCAGAACCATTTGGCGGGCGGTTCCCAGTTCACAGCTTAACTCACTGTTGATGGCAAATTTGGTAGGTTTTGTACAGGATAAATATCTTTTGAAACGATCAACAACCCGACTCCATTCTTTTAATGTCATCTTAAAAACCATTTTACGCTTCAACCCTAAATAACCAGCCTTCAGTAATATTTCAGGGGTTGTATTATCATTGTCCCCTAAACTCAATGTCAAACCGACTGAAACATCTAATATCTTGGGTGAAGCCATGTTGTTTCGTATGATAACTCAATAGTTAGGCATCTATTTATATATATATATACAACTCGTTATATTATTGGTTCGCACAGACCGCCAAATAAAAAATACGTTGGACAGAAATTATACACAAGTCTCCGCCTTTGCTAAGCCTACTACACCTAGGGGTGGTTCCTCACCCGTAAAATTATTTTCACACAACTCTTTGAAGCTAACTTACAATGCCTCCCATTGTTTCACGTTTAAATGAACACCCTTTCGGGTAGGTTTTGGCATTCGTTCCTCTTCACACCACCAAAATTTACGAATGTTGACTCCAGGGTATTTGTTGTCGATCGTTACGTACACGTCATTACCAATAGGCACTGATTTCTTTACAATGTTTTTTTGTAAATACTCATCTATCTCTGAGGACGTGTTCATCAATGCCTGCCATTGCCGCTCGAAAAACATGATACCATTGGGTGTTGGATATCTATCACTCTTAAAACCGTAACCATACAGTCTGATGTGATAACACACATCTTCTTGCCAAATACATTTTACAACCAAATAATCATTTCCAATATCCTTTCGATACAACTCGATACTCATGATGTTAATCTCTTGTTTTCAACTTCATAAAACAATTCTACATTTGAACGTGTAATCAACCCCCTTTTATACCTAGATTTTCGAAACTTAAAACCAAAATTTAACTACACCCTGTCACAAATATGTAGATTAAAACTATTGGCTTAGAACAAAATCGACAAAATCACCTGTCAAGCTTAATGGCGGAGGTCATTGTCCCTTAATACAGGTATAGCTACACTTGGCGTGAACTCAATGTAACCTCTACACACCTGCCTATAAAGCGAAATATCTTCCCCCACCCCCCCTACCCTCCAATAAACAATTCGTGGACCCCATACCCTCGTTACAAAAGTCAAACACGATCAAAGAATATAACACCTGCATACCTTTTTTTATTATTCATAACCTCATTGTTCAGTCAACAATAACCATATTCAACCTATAAATAGAACACCTGTGGAATGCTCTGACGTCAGACCTTAGGAATGTGTGACGTCAGACCTTTGGAATGTCTGGAATTCCAAAATTGCTTCAAAGTACCCTTCATACTACTAACCTTGATCCGATCAGAAACCAGTTTTGGGGTGGAACTTTTTGATTAGACAACAAGGCTGCGATCCGTCCATAAACCTGTAAAAGCAAGTAAGGAAGGTTTCTTGATGACATGATCTCTTCATTCTTAAAGTAGTTACAACAGCCTTATTTTATTTCCACTAATCACAGTTATAACCAACTCATTTTATAATAATTAAACATGCATTATGCAAGAGCTAAATCTGATTATTGCAAGTCTTAATTTAGGCTTCAGATGTTATAGAAATTATAAATTAGATCTTTATTTAAACAACAAGACCAAAATCAACTCTGTAGACCCACGGATGGCTCGGCTACAGCTCGGATTTAAATAGGATTTCACTAATTGATTAAATCAAATAAGGGATAACCTGATGAAAATACGTCAGTTAGATCGAGGCTAAATGATAGAGTGTACTTAGCGAGGCCGCTGTAAAGCGTTTCGGTATGCCATTGAAAACTTTACTTGATAATCGAGATATGTAGGTGGAGTTAACGCCTGTCAATCAAACGATCAGCGAAGGTGAAGACACAATTCGCTACCATTTCTAGGCAAATATTACAACGATGATAACTATGTTCAGAATAAAGTAATTTGACTGAATTTTTCAATATATTCTTCTTTCATCAACTACTTTTGAACTGTTATAGCAAGAATGGCCAACTCTCTGTAAAAATCTCCTATAATGTATCTTTAAACATCACTGATCAATTATATTCTATTTTATTACAGATGACCTTTGTGATCTGTGCCAGAATCATGCGACATGTGTACGATTAGACGGTAGCTTTACCTGCACATGTCCCAATGGGTATGCTGGACCAACATGCAGTTGTAAGTAACCTCACTTGGTATTTTATTTACCAGTACCCCAAATGAAATTTGGTTTGAACGTCCTGGAGCCGCGGTGGCTCAGTAAGTAATACGTTGGCTCACTAAACTTGAGGTCCCGAGATTGATCCGGTTTTGGCCAAAAATGTTCATTGGAATTTTCCACGGTGTTTCCCTCTTGTTAGTTTTGCCGGTCGGACGGCCCGTTAAGGGACATAGGGGCCTAAGGACCGAGATCACGTGTACACATTGGCGAGAACGTAAAATATCCCTTGGCAGTTGAAATTCGAAAAAAATAGTAGGTCATCCGAACTACTAGACACTGTCCTTGTTATGCCCTCCCATGCTGAATCCACTGATTAGAGAAGTCATGTTGGTTAGCGAGCCAGCGTCTTTCTCACTGAGTCACCGAGAACCCCCAGGTACTCAACCGATATTTGATTGATTTTTGCGATTCGGTTCATTAAGTGACTTACCTATCTAATCATTTTCTAGGTGGTATAATTATATTCTTTGGTCCTTCAAACATATTTTTAGAGACCAAAAATGTAATTGTTATTCAGACATTGATATAGATGTACGTGATGTATTTTGTTAAAATCATTTCTGTATGCTGACTCTTTAAGTGACTTACCTATCTTATTTTTTTCTAAATGGTATAATTGTATTCTTTGGTCTTTCAAACGTACTTTTAGACACCAAAATTGTATTTGTTATTCAGACATTTATATACATGTACTTGATGTTATTTGTTAAAATCATTTCTGTGTTCTGACTCTCTAAGCCCCCCCCCCCCCGTGCCCGCTACAGTTTTGGAGGTCTTCCGCAGGTGCACCATGAGTAACAGCCACGTATATGTGTCTTAAATCTGATCCTGCGTTGCCTGTGTGACATTGAGAGGTTTCCCTGGGATCTCCAAATCCCTCTCACTGTTATAGATTCCAACACACCACGGGCCCAGGACAGATTCCCAAGTAGCTTATCATTTGCAGATGTGCCATAATATTTGATAAAGATATAGGTGAACTAGCCAAGCTCAACAGAATTGCCAACCAAACATTATAGCTGATTTCAGATTGTCTTGTTAAGATTTACTAGACATTCTAGCTGCTACATTGTCTATACAAAACATAAAGTCGCCAATTCCCGTAGAACATGGCCGGCTTCCGTTAGTGCTAAAAAAAATCACCCCATTTCTATTTAAATAGACAGGCTTCATGTACCACGTGACTATGATTTATTCATATTTCATTTCAAGTCGATTACTGCAATCCTAGTCCATGTGAAGGTCATCAAGCCTGTAACAGGATACATAGAGGTTTTACATGTAGTTGTGATGCTGGAAATACAGGAAAAACTTGTGACGGTAAGTTACTTAAATGTTTCATGCTTTTGTGGTGGTAAATAACATCACCATATGGGTATTTTATTGACAGTTCCTTAAATGAAATCTGGTTGTAACGTCCTGGAACTACAGTGTCTCAGTTAGTAAGACGTTGGCGCGCTATCCTGGAGGTCCCGTGTTCGATCCCTGTGTTGGCCGAAAAAGTTCAACGGGATGTTCATGTATTTTAATAGCCATATTATGTAGCTAATAACAGATAGTATATCAATGTAACATAACACGAATTCCCGTAACATTATCTTTACAAAATATTATATCCCTACCCAGTCCCCCAACTTTATAGTCCACTTCCGTCCTTGTGGAAATTGTTATGACTAATATGCTGTATCCTGTGCGTGATGTTACTCTTTGTACGATATCAGTTATAGTGTTCACAATAACGTGACTGGCCATTTGACGGTCCTACTCTTTAACCCCAAGAAGTTCGAATCGTGAAACTATGTACTTTAGGTGACCTCAACACACATGGACACGCCCAGTTATCTTCGCACCAGCAAGGCCATCCGACCCCAAACAACATCGCCACGTTCTTTGGCTGACCAATAGAAAAGTATGCATGTTGATATCGATCCGACAATTGTCATATTATAGAAGCAGATCACCATCTATACGTTATTCTTATTGTTTTTATTTTATATCACTGGTGTTATATACCCAGGTCCCAGAGCCAACATGTGGCCCAGTGAGTTGATTATCAGCTTGTCATGTTAATAAATGTTTAAATAATAGTTTAAGACAGAATAATAACCTGCAGTACTCAGATTCAGTTCTTACATAATGCATCTTTAATACAGCTGTGTTATTGTCATCAAAATAATCATAATTTCTTTTATTACAGTTAATATTTGTGACGTGTGTGCAGGTGTTAATTGTGATTGGCCAGTGGGTAATTGTCTTTTATTGATCATTTGATTTAACTAAAATGGCGTATCTCCACGCATCAGATCGTGGACTCAGTAGGGACAATCCTGTCGTAACGCATCGTACAACAGTGGGAACCTAGTAGTGCGTGCTGGAGGACCGCACTACACGCAAACCAATTCGACAAGACAAACCTGCAGACATTGCAAGAAATAAACAACAAATATCATGTACAATTACACGGAGAGCGTGTTTACGCTCATCACGTGTTCATTAGGAATATGACGTGGGCAATAATTATAGTATTATCTCAGTCTTAATTATAGCTGACGTGTGTTCGTATTCACACATCATGTGTCATTGTATTTACCAAATATAGCTCTGTCCATTCCGCTATAAGGTCGCCGAATTTCGATAGTGTAATTTAATGATATTCATGATATATCGTAATATAAATAGTCACGTAAAGTATGTATGCATCTTATTTCAGAAATCGTCGATCCCACTAATCTGTAGTAAAATTCCAATAGGTTTCCAAACTATGGTTCTATTCCTATTTAAATCGTCCGGTTACACGCACTACATCACGTCACAAGGTTTTCATCAAGGGATGGGGAGGGAATAACTTCGGAACGTAAAGTCACAGAACGCTGATAATTGATGAGGCTCGTACTCGCATGACCTTCACACCAATTATGAAAAACTTTAGTCTCTATCGCATTATCAAGGTTTTCGGGGAAAAGGGCATAACTCTAGTACGAAAGGTCGCATAACATTGAATAACGACAGGGTTCGTCCGCTCATGACCACGTAGATAACAAACCTTAAATTCTCAAACCTCCGTGTTTCGAGATAAGAGATGAGGCCATTGCCTTCAACGTAGCACATGCGGGAGCTATTCGCACCCGGCATTTGTAAACAAAATTGACAATATTTTTAATCAAAACAACGATTGGTTATTGTTATTTATAATATTTCTGCCACACCCAACCACAATTAAGCATATAATCCTACCTGAAACGGGTACAAATCCCCTCTTTTTAAATCAAAGCGACAGTAGATCGCTTTTCCCGACATTTTAAATTTACGTCTGTACACACATAAAGGCGGGGCCTCGTGTGCAATAGCCAATCAAAGTACCCAACTGATCAGAGTTGCGCAGTAGTTATTACGGCGTAATTATGAACGTCTGAATCAATTATGATAAAAACAACGCTTGATTTACTTTATTGTCAATATTTGCTGATAAATGAATGTTGTTTCAGTAGATTGGACTGCGTATGTGTAATAAGTACTAATAGTATAAAATTAACTTATTTTTAAGATGGTTCATACATTAATAAAGAAATTGAGTTTGCCACTTGGAACTAAAGGCATCCAATCGTAGCTAAAAACAAGCACATCAGTATATCTCAGCGTTTTTAGTTACGTTCTCGTAGCTAATGACCACGATGCTCCAGACAAAATTTGACAGAAACGGTCAAAAACTGTAGACTCTATCTCGTCACAAGCCAATTGTTAACGGATGGCGCGACGGATCGGGTGACGACATTATACGCCCACACTGAAATTTTAGCATATAAAAAGACAAACGGCATAGGGCTAATAGTAAATCCGGATAACATATCTCAAGAACTGACCATACCTTTGTTCAGGGTAAAGGCTTACCCCGAGCTCTCCTCCGTGAAGACGGATCTCCAGTTTACTGACCAAGAATCTAATTTGGCGTAGCGTGACCTCACCTAGAACTGACCATATATAAACATTTCCAATTACTTTTGATAGCAAATTATCTGATTTCTACTGTTGGTGTATAATTAGAGTTTATGTTTTCTATTTTCTGCATTCCCAGGATGATCTTGAGGAGTTTGGCAGAGTGAATGCCATGGTGGACATCGCTATTCTGATTGCTAAATCACAATCTGATTAAAATACACATCTATCTTTCGTGTCTTTTTTTTATACTTTCGATAGCCTTCACTTTTTTGAGTAAGGACAAGTAAAACGAAATTTTGAACAATAAAAAACGAAACGCAATAGGATCTGTGTTTTAATCAGATTGGTTAAATCTATGGGAAAATCACTTTTTCTGTCCTGGTTCTAATGGAGAAATCACTTCGTCATACTGGTTCTGATTCTATATGGAGAAGTCACTCGCTATTCGTGTTGTTATGAAATCCTTTTTCTGTTTCGGTTCTAATATATGGAGAAATCACTTCGCCATACTTATTCTTATTGTTATTGTTATGGAGACGTTCCTCACTATTCGGGTTGTTATATTTGGAGACAACACCTCGCTATTCGGGTTCTTGTTACTTTTAAACGTTATTGTTTAGTTTGATTTCGTTATGACACTCTACTATTTAATATTAATAAATTTTATTCAGCAACGTTCGTAGTTATCTGTTTTATTTATGAATAGTTGTTCTACTTGGGCCTATTGAATAGTTGGTCTACTTGGGCGTATTGAATATTTGGTCTACTTGGGCGTATTGAATATTTGGTCTGTGTTGTATAGAATATATGGCTAGCATTTTGTTAGCAAAAATACCTCGGTATGTTATTGATATTGTTAGGTGGTAACATTAGTATAAAAATATCCCAGTGTAACAATTATTACATTATCACACCACAATGTTTAAGAGTTAGAATTAGTCGTCTTTCAGATATTCAATGGGGTTTAACATCTTACTCTTCTGTTTCGACTGGGTTAATGAAGACGAGTGTACGCCATGCAGTATGCTATGGGGGAAATTTTGCCCGGACAGCGGCGCTAAGTCCTAATCCTATATCTAATTCCAACTAGCAAGGTTTTTATTACGTGCACGCCAATGTGTACACAGGACCCCGGTTTGCGTGCCATTTGAAGGACTATACGTCCCTTGCCAATCCCTCCGTCTTTCATAATTGACCGGGGGTGGGGGTGTGTCACAACGTAAAGGCCTGATGAACTTTCTCGGTCAAACCCGTGGTCGAACTCGGTACATCCATGTTAGCGAACCGAGGCTGTTCATTTGGATGGGACAAAAAACTAAGGTCCTGTGTAAACATTAGCGTGCACGTAAAAACAAATCCATTGAACTTGACGGTGTGTGTGAGTCTTCATTAGGACGGATAGCGCGGATATGTAAGACGTAAAACCCCACTGCATTTAAATTTGTGAAATTGAGAGAAATAAGGTGGTGACATTAGACATGAGGGAAATTTCGCCCGGGCAGCGGCACTCCTACTCTCATATCGAATTCCAACGGCCAATGTTTTATTACGCACAAGCCAATGTGTACATGGATCTGTTTTTCATTCCCTCCGAACGACCATACGTTTCCCTTTTCAGGTCCTGTGTCTTGCATCACGGACAAGGGGACCACGTCGGAAAATCCGATGATTTTTATCGACCAACCTAGGATCAAACAATTAGACTGCAGTGATTCTCAACCAGTGCGCCGCGGCGAAAAACCAGTGATCCCAATTGAGTATTCACTGGTGTCTACTGATAAGTGAATGGCTGTGTATTTCTTTATTTACATATATATTCAAATATTTTACATATATATTAAGCCAGGTGTGACGCTATTTTTTCATGTGTTCAAAGGTGTGCCATTGGTAAAAAAAGGTTGAGATGAGAACCATTGAATTTCAGCAATACTTCAACCAGCGGCATAATAATATCGTTATTTGGGGGGAGATTCAGCGCCAACACCCCATCCATTTACGTTTAAAAAAACAGTTGTCTCTTAAAGTGAGAACTTATTGCAAATGAAACGGAAAAACTGCCGTCATCGATGTTCGTAGAAAATTATTTGTGGTCTGTATCCATAGATACAAAACTGTATTTGTCTCCCCTGTTTTCTTAACGCACAACGCATGCCCAAACCAAAGCACTCAATTTTCTTGTTGTGATCGGAGGTTGAAGTCATCAAGATGCGTATCGAAGGGATTGAGAAACTTTCGAACTTTTACTCTTTGTTTTTTGGAACACTTGGCGTCGGAGCAGCTATAGTATACAATATCAGTCGGTCGAGGCCAGGCCATTCAAGTAAATACACATTTCCATTTCAAGTCAATAACAAATCATGTCCAACCAATGTCATCACCTTTTTTGTAAGAAAGATCTAGGCCCTAGCCTACTCTATTTCTCTAGTCCAAAGGCTGTCATTAGAGTCAAGTAGCATGGTTTCGATTCCCCGCTTGTAGGTGACAAGGAGTATGGTCGCCTGTCCATCCTCGTGGTTTTTCTCTGTGTTCTGTTTCCCCCCGCCCAGCTAAACTCCCCTATGCGCAAGCGAATTATAGAAGTGTCGAAGTGAAATTTAACCATGTTAGTTCCAAAATGACCTAGACCTAGTTTGACAACGCACAAGATTTGTCATTAAAATAAGTCAATGGTGTGGTATCGATTCCCCGCTTGTACAAGGAGTATGGTCGCTTGTCAAACCTTGTGGGTTTTTTGTGGGTCCTCTGGTTCCCTCCCACTGCTTAAAGACCCCTGAAATAAAATAGAACCATAATATGAATGTTGTCCCATTTCTAGCTCTTTCTTCCTCTCATCATCTTTTATTACCTTAAGAAACAATGCCACAATTTAAATGAAATATGTTGTTTACCCTCCTTCCCACATACCTGTCCCATCCAGGTCCCCTGTCCTGCACCACCCTGGCTTGATAACCAGGATAGTTCAGTTCGATCCTGGTGTCTTCCTGTCAATGCTGCTGTATGGTAGATTCCTATTGTCTGTCATTAGTGCAGAAAAGTAGGACCTTAAACACCCATTTCATTTTTCTTCCATTAGCCTTATTATTTGTGCAGAAATATGGCAGTTCTGTGTACAATATGCCATTTGTCATTAGAGCAGAAAAGTAGGATCTGTTATTTCTATTCATTAACCTGGTGTCGAAATAAGGTAGTTCTGCATAACATTAGAGCAGAAAAGTATGAGATTAAACCCCCATTTTAGTTCTGTTCATTTTCTGGATTAGTGCAGAAAAGTAGTTCTCTATATTGATTTGATATATTTTTCAGGTATTTATTTACATATTGGTTTTGGAACACTAGGATATTATACTGGTGATGCCTTGAATAGATATAAACAAAGAGCTATAAATCAACGTATGGTGGTTCTACAAGATTACATGGCAAGACATCCTGATGATTTTGTTGGACAAGGTAGGCAACTGTAGTACCAAATCTTGTCAATTTACATCAAAATTTGTCAGGGGGGTTGGATGGCTGAATGGTTAGCGTGCGCGCGCTGTATCATAAAGTCTGTCATTGAGTCGACTGGCGTGGTTTTGAATCCCCGGTTGTACGTGGCAAGGAGTAGGGTCGCCTGTCCAACCTCGTGGGTTTTCTCCGGGTCCTCCGGTTTCCTCCCACTGCTAAAGACCCCTACGCGCAAGCGAATTATGTAAATAAAATCAAACCATATATTAGTCCCGAAATGACCTAGTTTGTGTCGAGTGGACGTTAAACCCTATTTCTCTCTCTCTCTCTCTCAAAATTTGTCAGGTGACTTGATCTTTCTATATTATGGAAGTTATCTTTCACCCTCATCTAAAGTAACAGGAATATCAATAGCACAAAATTTTTAACAAATAGTCAGGTTTCACTTCAATGTGGGAGCCATGGTGCCAAGTTGTTGGCTCGAAAACCTGGAAATTCCATGTTCGATCCCTGCTTTGGCCAAGCTACAGCAAACCTTTAAACAGGAAATGACCTAGTTTAACCTAGCAAATTCAAATTCCAAAACCGGATTCGACACAAAACGTAATTTATCTAGTTTTCATTCATTTTCAATATTAATTCATTTCCTTTAACTTTGTTATTGTAGTACACTCTGGGACTCAGTGGCCTTAAAACATTTATATTTTATTCGATGTCCCGATGAACGTAGCATCTAAAACACAGCAACATTAAATAAAACAAGCCAACAGTGAGGCTTATGTCCCCCGCTGAAATCCCCCCCCCCCCAGTGTTTCAAGCAATCAAACTGATTATAAACTATACACTAAGTTTTTGAGACGTTATATACAGGCAAACCAATCCCATGGTTGTTGGGACTATAAATCGATTGAGGTAGTAAATGGTATATTGGATAAATCTGTTTTACTGAACAGCTTGTGTTAGTGAGTTTCTTTAAATAATCAATCTGAGTACATATTATTAGCGTGGATCAAGTTGTGAGACAATTGATATTTAACCGAAAAATGCAAATGGCGCATTGTTGCTTTACCTACATATAGCCAATTGTCAAAAAGTCATACATGAGATAATGAATCCTGTTTATTAAATGTTAAAACAGAACTTCTTGTTTTTCAGAGGCTAAAAAGTTCAAGGATGTTTTTCAACCATGGACCCCTGTCCGATAACTTAAAAAAGATGTTGATGATGAAACAGATGATTGTGTGTGATGTGTGATGAAATACTGTTACGGTAATATTAGTGCTATATGAACCATTCAGGACAACTACACAGAACAATAAATAGTACATTAAAGATAAAACTAAGAAATTGTTTTAAGGTTTTTTATTAAGGATTATGCAGTATCTTGAGGCGAAATAGACAGAAAGACTTTAAAATGGATACCAATTAGTAGTATAATACTGTGAAACTGTTGGGTTTAAGAGTATATTGTAGTACTAGATTTGTTATTAGATGATCCTAATGTTATAATTTTTTATTGGCTCGAATACGAAATAGTACTATATAAAGTTGTAAATTGTTTTTACTATCGGTTCCACTATCAGGAAATAACAGTAATTAAAGTTATTACTGTGATATTTTAACTGTTTATTTCTTTGTTTGGCAATCTGCAATAATGCTACCTGGATTGATTATTGAATGAAGCAAAGCGCAAGATGATGTAGTCAATCCTCATGTAATATATATTAGTCACTTGAGAGCAATAGATAGTATTCAGCATGGTTTTTCCTTGTCAATGTTCCAGAATAGAGGGTCTGGCAAGGAACAGTATCCTGTAGATGTATTCATTTGCCTGATTGGTGCAGAAAAGTAGGATGTTGAAATCCCTTCTTTTTGAACATCGGCAGACTGTCATAACGAAGGTATTTACCAAGATTTGTCAAAACCCATTTGTTAGTATTAAAGCTGTGTGACAGAAAAGCCCAGAATATATAAGCCACCTGCTATAAAGTTTTGTGGTCTCCTGTCTAAATTCTGTGAAAATGACATGCATGTATTCCATGGCCCTCTATTGAAGAGACAAATTGGGTTTAATTTCCACTTGACACAAATTAGGTCATTTTGGGATTAACATGGTATAATTTTATTGCAAAAATTGGCTTTCGCATAGTGATCTTTAGCAATGGGAGGAAGAAGAAGACTGGAATAAAACCAACAAGGTTGGGCAGGTGACCCTACTCCTTGTTCCATACATGTACAAGCTTACGATCCAAGCCTCTGGCCCACCCCTTTCTATTCAGAAGAGAGCCATGTACACGTGTACACATTGGCGTGTACATCAGATATCCTTTGGCAGTTGGAATATGATGTAAGAGTAGGCCGTAGTGCAAAATTCCCCTCATTGGACACTGTATGCCTGTCTTCATTAGCCCAGTAGGTCAGTAAACGCCATTTCATTTCTATTAAAGAACCTTGTTAGTGAATAGACTACATAATATTTATTGTGTAAAGCATTATTATACATGATATTTATTGTGTAAAACATTATTATACATGATATTTATTGTGTAAAGCATTATTATACATGATATTTATTGTGTAAAGCATTATTATACATTATCTTTATAATCACAATTATATACATAATAGACATATCTTGTCGCACAACTAAACAGCAGCTAAATCATTTATCCACAGTTAGAAATAACAAACTCATAAAAGCTAAGCCTTTTAGGTAGCTAACAAGACTTTGTAAAATAGGTGAATAAGTCTGGGGGTTAGCAAATATTGAAAATCAATTTAGGGATCAGATAACCAGTTTAAATTTCAAAAAGATGGGGCTAACAAGATTTCTTAATGATAGGTTGCCAAGCAACAAAACTAGCTAATTGTCCGAGCAGATGACAAGGGTTGTCGCATATTTATTCTTTTGTCAGTCCCAAAGTTCTAAAAGTGAAACAAGGGCCACAACTCTGGAAATAATTAATGGCAATATTTGAAATTTGATAAGCTTCTCTGTATTACTAATAATGCACATAAATTTCATACATAATGAATCATAACTTTTGTTGTAAAAAGTTCTACAAAGTGGAAGGTCACAACTCTTCACAAGAACATATAGACGACATATGGACAGGGCCAACGGCAATGTACAACAATATTTCCATGTAGGTGTATAATTTATCAGGGATTATTGTCCATTTAACCATGCTGGAATTATTAGAACATTTTTAGATTTATATTTTCCTTTTTTTTTTTTAAATTGTAGTTTATTTTTATTGATATCATATTTACAATATTTCATAGCAGGCTTAAGATGAAATAATTACTACTAAAAAATCCTTTTGAATCATCTTGAAAAATTATTTGTATTCAAACTTTTATATATGAAACAATAGCTCCATTTGAAAATTGTGATAATCTTTAAATCAAATACATATTTATAAAACATAAGTACCACAAACCATCTTTGCTTGCTTTCACCAACAGCACGCCCTGGTCCCTAGCCTTGCTAATAGTTGGAATGTTTTAATTTATCATACTGGAATCGTAATGGAACTGTCAACCAGGTATTAGACTATCCAGTACTACCTAATAACGATCCTGTTATAAGGACATATACATTTTAAAACTGCAGCAATTGGGGGAAGGCACAATGATCACATACATGTACAAGAGTGACAACACATATTAAAAGATAACTAATTAAATACTCTTAAATAATATTAACATACATGTAAACATAAGTACAGACTATCAAAATTTCAACGCAACATTAACACATATAAATCGCATAAATAGCACTAAATATATAACTTAACAAAGCTATCACAGAGATTTACAGGAACCAGCCTATCCACATCTGATTTTTACAAATATAAAATAATGTCAGAACAGTTCTGAGAGCCTCAGCACTTTCAATTCTGCGAATTTTCAACTATTGCCATGACAATTGATTGACCTGTACTTCAAATATCTGCACAATGAAATACAATTAGGTTATATGATTGAGGAACGTTTTTGACAAGACCTCTATAGTCTTTATTAAACAAACGATTGCTTAGAACTTATGATGATAATTCATGATTTGCAAAAACTAAATCAAGCATTTGAGCAAAATACATAATTATAGGTGGAACACAGTATATTTGATTACCAGCAATATAATAAGATAGGTTGCCTGCCAACAAAACATACAGCAACATAAGCTAAATCGTTGGATTCCCTGGTTGTACATGACAAGGAGTAGGTCGCCTGTCCAACCATATGTCAGTCCCAAAATGACATAGTTTGTGTCAAGTAGATCTTAAACCACATTTCTCTCTCTCTCAGCTAAATTGTCCGGGGGTCAACAAGGGTTGTCGCATATTTATTATTTTAGTCGTTTGAGGGATTACAAGGTTCTATTAACCGAAACAAGAGCCTTAACTCTGGAAGTAATTTACTGAAATTGTTGAAATTTGACAGGATTTTTCGTTTTACTAATTTAAATAATGCATATAAATTTCATACAGATCGGATGATAACTTTTGTTGTTTGAGTGTTCACAAGGTCCAACAAAGTGAAACAAGGGACATAACACTAGATGTAATTGACGGAGATTACTGAAATTCAATTGGCTTCTTCATTTCATGGGGGGGGGGGGGATCACGTGGTTAAGTGGGTAAGACGTTGGCTCGCTAGTCTGGAGGTCAGGTGTTCGATCCCTGCATTGGCTGAGAAAGTTCATCCTGATTTTCCAGCGTGGTTTCCCCTTGTCAGTGATGCAGGACGGAACGCCTGACAAGGACAGCTGTCTAGTCATTTGGATGAGACGAAAAACCAAAGTCCCGTGTACACATTGGCGTGCACGTAAAAGATCCCTTGGCAGTTGGAATTCGATATAAGAGTAGGCCCTAGCGCCGCTGCCTGGGCAAAATTTCCCTCATAGCACACTGTATGCCGGTCTTCATTAGACCAGTTTAGGAGCAGAACAGTAGGACGTTAAACCCCATTTCATTTCACGGGGGAGGGGCTGGAAGGTCGAATGGTTAGAACGTGCGTGCTGTATCAGGTCTGTCATTGAGTCAACTGGTACGATTTCCACTCCCCGGTTGTATGTGACAAGGAGTATGAACGCTCGTCCAACCTCGTGGGTTTTCTCCGGGTCCTCCGGTTTCCTCCCACTGCTAAAGACCCCTACACGCAAGAAAATTATTGAAATAAAATGGACCATGTGTTAGTCCCGAAATGACCTAGTTTGTGGACGTTAAACTCTATTTCTCTCTCTCCCCCTCTCTTCATTTCACTAATTTAAATGATGCATATAAATTTCATACATATCAGATGATAACTTATGTTGTGCCAGCATTCACAAGGTCCCACAAAGTGAGTCAAGGGTCACAATTCAAGAAGTAATTAACGGAAATTGCTGAAATTCAATCGGCATCTTCATTTCACCGATTCAAATGATTCATATAAATTTCATACAGATCGGATGATAAGGTTTGTTGTTAGTTGGAGTATTAACATGATTTAACAGGATGAAAGACGAGCCATAACTCTAGAGGCAATAAACAGAAATTTCTGAAATTCAACTCTTCGTTTCACTAATTTAAATGATGCATATAAATTTCATGCAGATCGTATGTTGTTCGAGCATTTACAAGGTTCAACAAAGTGAAGGTCATAAGTTATTACCTCTAGAGTTATGACTCATAACTCTAGAGGTAATATACGGAAATCGCTGAAATTCAATATGATTCTTCGATTCACTAATTTATATGATGCCTATCAATTTCATACAGAATGAATAATAACTGTAAATTTTTGTTAGAGCGATCACAAGGTGCAACAAAGTGAAACAAGGGCCATAACTCAGAGGAAATTAATGGAAATTATTCAAATTAAATAGGCATCTTCATTTCACGAATTTAAATAATGTATATAAATTTTATACAGATCTGATGATAACTATTGCTGCAAGAGCTTTAACAAGGTTTGATAAATTGAAACAAGAGGCATAACTCTAGACATAATTAATGGAAATTGCTGAAATTCAACAAGCTTCTTCGTTTCACAAATTCAAATTAAAGGATGCATATAAATTTCATACAGATCGAATGATAATTTTTGTCTTTAAAGCGTTCACAAGGTGCAATAAAGTGAAACAAGGGTCATAACTGCAGAAGAAATTAATCGAAATTATTGAAATTAAATAAGCTTCTTCAACTCTGTAATGTAAACAACATATATCAATTTCAAAACAATCAAATGATAAATGTAGTCTGTAGAGGGTTCACAAGAAAGTGTGAACGACGGACTGACATACGCGTGCGGCGGCAATATACCACAACATTTCCATGTAGGTGGATAAAAACGAAATCTCGAACTATAAAAACTGAAACGAAATAGGATCTGTGTTTTAATCAGATTAGGCTTGCCTAGCTAGACTTATCATCGCTTTAAAGGAAAAGACTTGTTTTATTTGGATAAAGATAGGTTGCCAGGCAACAAAAAATACGCCCACAGCAGCTAAATCATCCGGGCAGTCAACAAGAGTTGTCGCATATTTTTACTTTTTTTTGGCAATGAAATATTTATAATACATTAAAATCTGATGAAGAGTAACATCTCATTAAATGATTATCAGAAAACGATTAGAATTTGTTTGGTTTTTATAAAGTTCTGCCCCATGCTAACGTTTAGTATACGAAACTTTTAACATCATGGATTTAGCTGTTAATGGCATAAAAATTCATTGAAAATCAATATACTTGTTCGTCTCAAGACCTTAAACTCTGTGTGTCAATCTGAAGTCAATCGGATGATAACTTTAGCCTCTAGAGCATCACAAGATTTTTCAAAGTGATCAAGGGCCATAACTTTGGCAGTAATTATCGGAAATCGTTGAAAATCAATATCATTCATCATCTCATGACCTCAAACACTGTGTATAAATTTAAAGTCAGTCCAATATTAACTTTATCCTCTAGAGCATTTACAGATTTTTTGAAGTGATCAAGGACCATAACTCTGGCAGTAATCATCTAACATTGCTGAAAATGAATAGACTTTAAATTCAATCGGATATTAACTTTAGCCTCTAGAGCATTTACAAGATTTGTTGAAGTGATCAAGGGCCATAACTCTGGCAGTAATTATCGAACATCGCTGAAAATGAATAGACTTCTTGGTCTCATGAAAGTAAACACTGTGTATAAATTTAAATTCAATCGGATATTAACTTTAGCCTCTAAATCAATAGGCTTCTTTGCCTTATGACCTTAAACACTGTGTATAAATTTAAAGTAAATCAGATTTTAACTTTGACCTCTGGAGTGTCCACAAGATTTTTTGATGTGATCAAGGGCCATAACTCTGGCAGTAATTATCGGAAATCGCTGAAAATCAATAGGCTTCTTTGTCTCATGACCTTAAACACTGTGTATGAATTTAAAGTAAATCAGATTTTAACCTTGACAGGCAAAGCAGCAACCTGGTTGTTTACTATTTTTATTTTTATGCCATAAACTATTAAAGATGCATTATATACAAGTACATGTATAATGCAAGAGCTAAATCTGGTACCGTTGTTGTGATAACAAACAACCTATGCCACATTTTGTCAAACAGTGATAACTTTGTTTAGAATAAAGTAATTTGAATGAATATTTTAATATATTCATTTTGATTATCTATTATAACAAGAATGGCCAGCTCTTTATCTAAATCCTACATAATGCATCTTTAAACACAGAATATCATCCGGATGAAGATAAAAACATAAACTTACTACTCATTTCACAGATTCAAATTCAAAACGTAATTTAAAAATAAAATAATAATAATAATAATATCGCGATTTATATAGCGCATGATTACTAAACATTTAGTTCCTAATGCGCTTTCAAGTATTTTCTGGTTGGTCAAATAAAACTATTTTGAAAAGTCGTTGTGTTATTTTTAACACCATCATATGCGTTTATAGGTTATGATGTATTCTGGATACACCATTTTACCATCATATACAGCAAACTCTCGAAATATCCACTGTCCATCTCCCAGAACCGAGTCAAAAAATCCATGATGCTTAGTACAATTTGGTTCTAAATGATGTAAATCTTTGCATGGCGGTTTCTTGTATTTACTAGGGTTTTTCTGTGAGCACAGATAAGCATTACCCAACAATATTCGACAAAGTAACATCTTCTTCTCACCACCACTTCGATGAGTTTTAGGATCTACAAAAGAAATCAAGATTTTAAAAATTAAATATTATAAAGGCTCTCTATAGTGGCTAAAAGTATTTTCTGATTGACAAGAACTATTCAAGATAGGTTGAAAGGCAATGAAACATACGGCCACAACAGCTAAATCGTCCGGGCAGTCAACAAGAGATGTTGCATATTTTTACTTTTTTCGGTAATGAAACATTTATAATACACTAAAATCTGATTAAGAACAACAACTCATGAAGTAATTATCAGAAAACCATTAGAATTTGTTTGTTTTAATAAAGTTCTGCCCCATGCTAACGTTTTGTATACAAAACTTTTAATATCATGGATTTAGCTGTTCAAGACATAAAAATTCATTGAAAATCAATATACTTGTTCGTCTCAAGATCTTAAACGCTGTGTATCAAAATGAAGTCAATCGGATGATAACTTTAGCCTTTAGAGCGTCACAAAGTGATCAAGGGCCATAACTTTGGCAGTAATTATCGGAAATGATTGAAAATCGATAGGATTCTTTGTCTCATGACCTTAAATTTAAAATCAATCGGATATTAACTTTGGCCTTTAGAGCGTCCACAAGATTTTTTGAAGTGATCAAGGGCCATAACTTTGGCAGTAATTATCGGAAATCGATGAAAATCAATAGGATTCTTCGTCTCATGACCTTAAACACTGTGTATAAATTTTAGGTCAATCAGATATTAACTTTGGCCTCTAGAGCGTCCACAAGCAATTGTGGACGCCGGACCGACGGACGGACGGACGGACGGGGGCGACGACAATATACGACCACATTTCAATGTGGGCGTATAAAAATGTATGTGCTGCATCAAATGAAATGGGGTTTAACATCCTACTTTTTTGATCCATGGGGGCTATTGAAGACGAGCATACACCTAGGCACATAAACCTTGATCACCGTCCCTCAAGTGTCTTGTTTTCTACCAATAAAAGAATCACAATGCAACAAACTAAATGCTGTGGTCGAATCATAGAATCATACCTATCATTCGGTTGAATTTTTTGTATTCTTAACCCTTTCAATGCTAGACGTAAATCCACTGCCTGTGCTAGACCCTTTTTTGAGGAAAAAAGGGAGGTTGGAACTGAATGCCAAGCAGTACTTATGGAAGCTTTTATGAAAAATCTTTTTGTCTGTTGGGATGGGCATAAGGTTGGGCTAAGAGAAAAAAATAGAATTTTGGAAATTTGCATAATAATGTAATCACGTGACGTCATGGCGGCCATTTTGGATTTCTCATTTCTCACTAAAGCTAACACGAAAACGAATTTTTCTCCATGAAATACTTAAAAGATATTGTTTTTTTCACTGGATTTTGATAAAGATATTTAAAATGAACAAAAATATCAATAGCAGCCATGAGCAATGCCGCCACGAACACGCGCATCACGTCTCCCGCTGCCATGACCACGGGCGGAATGCAATACCTTGTTTTTACTTTCACTTTCATCCCCAAGTCCCATATCATTATCAATATAGTCAGTCAATAGATCTACACGTTCGGGACTCAGGAATTGCATACGTCTTTTACGATCCAGCAGGCCAGCATTATTATCAACATCAGAATTATTGTCAGAATCTACTGCAGACACAGGGCTATCGTGTTCACATTGGGCTTGTTCATCATGCACGGGAGACATAGCTATAGCCATGGGCGGAACGTCGCGCAACAAATCACACACTTCATAATACCAATCACTGTCCTGACTACTATCATTATCAAGTAACTGGAAACGAATTATGTGTATCACCCGCCTCGAAATTGTCCACGTGTTGGTCAGCAAGACGTCATTCACGACTTCGTGGAGAGTGCATCGTCTACGTTGTCACTATGCACTCCGCCATTTTACGGTTTGCCGCTTTGAAACACGTGGAAATATGTTCTAGTGTATAGAAAATACAATAGATGGCACTTGCAGTTACGGTACTAATTTTAGCGAGGGCTTTACTGAGTACACGGTAATACCGGGTACGTGCATTTTACCGACATTTTATAATACCCGGTACTACCGGGTTAAGAGCCAGTATTCAGACGAAAGGAACCAGTCAGTCCATATGCTTTATTGTGTGCAGTTAAATCATTCTGCAGACAGAGATCCCTCTACTACATACTTCGAGAATAAATCTCTGTCCTGAATGGCCGCCATATCCAATAATTAATATATTGTTCTGTAAGGCAGTTCTACTCCATTTAATATTTGGCGTACATACAAAGACTAAATAAACCTATTCTGGATGCAGAATAAATACTTCTCAAAATTCTCGAAGTATACTTGATGTTTTCGACTAAAATCGTGGATTTAGCACCTAAAATGTCGGTCAACTAGCTAACTGTAGACAGGCAGCCTAAGTTTAGTATGGATAAAAACTCAAACTCTAAAAATAAACAAACTCTAAAATATGAATAATATGTTAAATGTACCAGCGTATTGGTCAGCTTTGGTCGGGCTTTCAGCCATATACAAAGCCATTCCAAACAGTCCGCCTTCATTGCCAATTCGATGATCAAAACCTTCCGTATGTATAGTATCTATCACCTCTTTTGAGGTTCCATGAAAAACATAATGTTCATTTATCTCTGGGTACAAATCGTTATGTTTGAGTTCAGCCCCGCTTAGTTTTGTTGTGAGAACAGGTCCTTTACTTCCTGGAATCTTGTCAATATTCACACAAGATGACTTATTTTTAACGGCTTCTGCAAATAATTCCTTTCTTCGATCATAATATTTACGATAAAGATAAAGGTTTTCAACACGTTCAATCTTTGCAACTTGAATATTTTTATGTGAAAGATTCACAGCATCTTTTCCGTGTCCCACTAAGTCTGGCCTCCACGTTTTATTTACAAGGTCAACAATGCAAGAATAGAGTGAACTGGAGGGTTTAATTGATACTAATTTACTGCCAGCTCCTATAATTTCTTTAAAATTTGAAAGTCTTGTTTTTGAATGTCGCCAGTAAGACGGGGGTGAAGGATTTTCCGCTCCTGCCATGTGAAGAAGAAATTCCATCGTTCCACGTTTAGGTACACCACTTTCCCCACTTCTATCAAAGTACTTATGGGATTTCTTCATTTCAACCATAAGCAGTTCCTGCAATGCTACTTTCACTTTCACAACACTGTAGGATTCACCTTGTAGTTGAATCTGAGGAACAATAAATCTACCCTTTCTCTGATCTTAAATAATAAAAGCATGATGACAGGTAATCAGTGTTGCTATTTCAAAATTTTTTACCGAAAATAAAGGGCATAATTCTTGTCATCATTTAAGCAGATGGATTCAAAACACAAATAAAAATCATGTGTCAACAAAATATTCATATTCACATGTAATACAAATAGGTGCACCTCACTATTTTTCATATTTAATTCCAGTACAGTATTCAAATTTATGTCAGAAATATTCCTACAAAATTACGTGTTTTCGTAATACGATAGAAAGATGGCATGCCGACCCATACCAGCTTCTAATTCACATCAGTAATGTAAGATAGATTGCCAGGCAACGAAACATACGCCCACAGCTGCTAAATCGTCCAAGTGGTCGACAAGGGTTGTCGCATATTTATTCTTTTGTAGGTACATATAATTGGGGGCATTTACAAGACAATTTCACACAGATCAGATTATAATTTTTGTCGTTTGAGAATTCACAAGGTTCTACAAATAGAAACAAGAACCTTAACTCTGGAATTGATTTACAGAAAAGTCTGAAATTTGAAAGGCTTTTTCATTTTACTCCCGATAATATTTTGGAGAATAAAACTGCTTAATTTTATGTTAAAATCCTTTAAAATTCTCTAAATTAGGGCCGCGCAACTAATGCAACATATGTGACACGTTTTCAAACAACTTAAACTGTCAGTCGTCATCTGGAAATGGAGACCGGTGTCCCAATCTGTAGTATGCGGTGTCTGGATAAAACCAGACTTTTATTTTATAAAAATAATGAAAAGATGAAATTTATCTTTCGTTATCAAGTAGAGCACATGGGTCATTCACTGTATAGACCCCTAAAGGAACGGGAATAGATTATCAGGTCACCCAACGAAAAAACAGACCCAAAATCTTAAAAGGTTTTAGTGTTTGGATAAGCACTTTTGACGTTCACATCCAAACGACTCAATATTTTGAGCTGAAATTTTGAGACAAGGTAAATACACCATTCCTCTATATTTTGGCGCTTAATTGCTGAAATTCAGTTGGCTTCTTCGTTTCACGAATTTTAATAATGCATATAAATTTCACAAAGATCAGATGATAACTTTTGCTGTTAGAGCATTTACAAGGGTCAACAAAGTGAAACAAGGGCCATAACTCTAGACCCAATAAACAGAAATTGCGGAAATTTGATAGAACTCTTCTTTTTACTAATTTAAATGACACACCTAAATTTCATACAGATCGGCAGAAAACTTTAGATGTTAGAGCATTCACAAGCTGCACCAAAGTAAAACAAGGGCCATAACTCTAGAAGTAATAGACAGAAATTGCTGAAATTCAATAGGATTCCTCTTTTTTACTAATCTAAATGACACATATCAATTTCATACAGATCGGGTGATAACTTTTGGTGTTAGAGTGATCACAAGGTTCAACAAAGTGAAACAAGGGCCATAACTCAAGACATAATAAACAGAAATTGCTGAAATTCAATAGGCATCTTCGTTTCACTAATTTAAATAATGCATAAATTTCACAACGATTGGATGTTAACTTGTGGCGTTAGAAGAGAGTTCACAAGATTTAACAAAGTGAAACAAGAGCCATAACTCTAGATGTAATAAATGGAAATTATTGAAATTAAATAGGATACTTCATCTTACTAATTTAAACAACATATATCAATTTTAAAACAATTGGATGATAACTTTTGGTATTAGAGCGTTCACAAAAAATTGTGGATGACAGACGGATCGACAGATGGACGGACGGGGGCAACGGCAATATACATCCACATTTCTATGTGGGTGTATAAAAATGAAATGGGGGTTTAAAGTCCATGCATTCTGCATTAACTGGCCTAAAGAAGATAGGCACAAGTCATGCATTGTACGATGAGGGAAATTTTGCCCAGACAGCATATTTAACTGTCAAAGGTTCTTTTACATGCACACCAACATGTACACAGGACACTAGAAACATTATCTTGCCATTCCTGATATGATCCCTTACTAACTCCATTGAAAAGATCTGAGGTATGGGCTTGACCAACACTGCGATCCAACCCAATTTTTGGTATGTTCTATATTAGCCATATAGGTAATATCATATTTACCATGTTTGCTCTACTCTATATTAGGTAGGATCATATTTACCATGTCTGCTGAGTTCTATATTAGCTTTTATTATATTTAAAATGTTTCTTCTATAAAAGGTATAATTATATTTACCAGGTTTGCTATATTCTATATTAGGTATTTTTATATTTACAATGTTTAGTATGTTCTATATTAGGTAATATTATTGATCAAGTTTGGTATGTTCTGTTTGTTATAAGGTATTATTATATTTATCAAGTTTGGTATGCTCTATATTAGGTGTTATATTTACCATGTTTTAGATGTTCTATATTAGGTATTTTAATATCCACGTTTAATCTGTCTGCTATCTTCTTCATTTCTTCATGTATTCTACGATTCAGACGTGTGATTGTTTCATTTTTAACACAGTCTTCGTAAAGATAATTGTCTTTCAGAAACTTCTTCAAGTTTTGTTTGGCTCGATCACATATATCTTTGTTAGCAGCATAAATCTGTATACCAGCATCTGCCGATCCTTGTACCTCCAGTTCTCCTGAAATAGTAATTTTTAAAGTTGATATTTTGGTCTGTTCCATTTTATAATAGGTGGAAAAATTTAGCTTCCATTAATTAAATTTATGAAATTAAGACACATATATAAATCAAATATGGCATTCAAAAGATGTTCTGTTACTTCATTAAATTGCTTGCGCATGGGTGAGAAAGAAAATACTCCTGCCTCAATGACAGTCCATAGACAACTCAGCAACCCAACCATCCTTCGTTTGTAATTACGTAGTTCATTTTAAAGATAATATTTTTGTTCAAAACATCATCTTGAACATATAGGAAATCATATATAGATATTTAGGTTGCTGTATTAAAGTTAAAATGTTTCACTGGCATTTAGTAATTGTAATGGCATTTAGTAATTGTAATGGCATTTAGTAATTGAACTGTTAATACACTAGACATATTTCTGAGACAGTTACAGCTTTTTACTTAGTGATGTTTCGACTAGTCTTCTCTAGTCTAGTCAAAACATCACTCAGTAATTAGCAGTAGAGTCCGGGCATAACAACCAGATCCATGAACATTTATCGAGAACATGGTTTGACAATGGTTTCTGATAGAAGGGACCCTAGTGAAACAATATGTAGTTTGCTACCACTGAAAACTACAGGCTAATTTCAGGAGAACGAAAAATCCAAAATTGTAGCCAAAGATGGTCTGAAATTGAGCTTGACAAACATTGTTGGTGAAATGACATGTATAATATATCATTTTTAGGTTTTATTGGTCAGCAGACTCATTTTGGACAAAATCCAATTCATGTAACAAATGGTTGATCCAATCTGGCGACTAAAATGCTGAAAACGTTTTTTTTTCTAGTTTTTAAACAGGCTGACCTGCATCATTTGTTGCTTTAATATAGTTGAAAAATTCATCTGAATCATCTGAATCATTCGAATCCGAATCATTAATATCCACATCATCGGAATCAGAATCATCCACGGTTCCACCAACAGCTCCATTGCCATCTGGAGAATATTTTTTAAGTTTCCTCAAAAATTCTACATAAACATCATCATCATAGATGACAAACGTTATTGTCTAAAAATAAAGTAAATTGAGAACAAATTAATAACACTATTTTTAAGCTGGGAGGTGGGCTGGTGGAATCGCTGACATGGTGTAGTCAGTGAGAGAGAAAAAGGATTAACATCTATTGGTTTCAGGATTAACTTGGTCATTCAAACTTCCTGCTTCTCATGTACAAACTTGGGTTAAAAACAGAGAGAGAGAGAGAGAGAGAGGGAGAGAGAGGGCAGGGGGAGGGAGGTGATGTCCACTAGACACAAATTTAACATAATAATATGGTTCAGATATATTACAATAAAGCATTTGCGCGTAGGGGTCTTTAGCAGTGGGAGGAAACAGGAGGACCTGGAGAAAACCCACAAGGTTGGACAGGTGATAACAGACCATATGACTTACAGTGTACACATAGGATCACTTAACCGTCCTTTGAAATGGTAACAAATAGTCAAATTAGATGGATATAAATGTAAATCTATGAGTGGCGGGTAGCCGTCCCTGATTTTTCTCATGAAGCTAATAGTTTTATTCTAATACAAACTCATCAGAAGTTCCCTTTATATAGTAATCGTGGACCAGAGTACAGTCCATGTGACGGCTTGGATGGATGGCTTTTGATGCCCTATAAATCTAAACATGTATACAGCAGTTGTATAAACAAAACATGTCATTCTATTACCGGTATGTATCAGGTTTAAATCTTCAGGATTTCCACGATACGCAAAGTAGGGGTATCCCTTTACTGGGGTGACATTCAAATTGTCTACAAAGATACGGACCATTTCTCAAATTATACCTGAAAAGAACTTGTTATGCTACCTACCAATCTGTTTCAGATAGGTATTGCGAAAGCCTTCTTATAACTCTGTATAAGATGACTGACCTTTATAAATTCAAGTATGCTTTCTACATGTGACGTCACACCATACAGCATCGATCAATGACTCGATTGCAAGTGCATTGTTTACATAGGACGTAGTAGCATTAACTCATCTGGCCAGAATATACCCCATTTAAACTAAATAGGAAATATTTTTTATCCAGAGATATACTTCAAACACCTTCGTTTATTTTTCTAATGTTTCAAAAAAAAATATCCAAGAATTTAATCTGTAGAAGGAAAAAAGTTAATCTTTCAAGCTAATTAACCCACACCAATGTCATTTCTATTAGTGACTGTAGCGGCCAAGTGAATATTCACTGCTGATCAGTGTGACTACCTACCTGTATTGTTGGGTATTTGGGTATCTCCTGTTGTAAGACATTAAGAGCGATCACGGCCATTTGGTCTGCAGGGAATTTGAATAATTTACCGCAACCAAGAGCAGGGAATGCTACAGAGGTCATCTTATCCCGTGCGGCCGACAGTAAAACTTGTCCAATAGCTGTCACCAAATCCTGTAATTAACACGGCATAAAATTGACTGGACAAATTAGCTGTCTTTAGTTATTTAAAAACATTATCATATGAAAAGTATGAAAGATCAAGAAGGTTTTGTCTTCTATGGATGGTTAAACCTCTATGCCTATCCATGTTCATTGGTATGATGAAATATCAAAACAGCCAGTGATGGTTGTTCCAGAAATTATTTTATCAAGTGCAAATTTTATTAAAATATAAGTAGAATTAATCACATTGATGAAATTAATCAAAAGATATCTTGACTATGGTTCTGATAAACATAATAGCATCAAATTGGTTCCAATGTTTTTAGAAACATCTTATTGAATAATGGTTTCGAGCCTACAACTAGCTCAAGAGTAAAAAAGTCTAGAACATGTGGCTCAGTACAAGGCATATACTGCCGAAACAACATTTATGCTCAAAGGTGATTTTACAATTTCATTTCTGAAAGGATGTTACACTGAAAGACTGAAGTAGTTTCTGTTTTTAGTGATGAGATACACATAATTTTTTTTTACTTTTGTGGTAGCTGGTCCCTTCCATTTGTCTAATATCATATGCTGAACTTGTTTACAACCAAGATGTCCGCCGGATGCCGTCTTTATAACTGAACCAGGCGGTAAATTAATATCACCAACCAAACCTAGTTTACCTTTCTCTATTTCTAAACCCTGAAATCACAAATATCAATATATAAATTATATATTGCCAACTTTAAAATAAACAAGCCAACAGATTGCTTATCTCTGCTTACAGTAAGCAGACAATGTTTATCATCGAACTCCATCAAGGCATTCACCTAATGAACATGTACACCAAGTTTGAACATTCTACCTCAAATTAAAAGGAGAGTTATTATGTTCCAAAGTCTTGACGAATCAAATTACTTATTGCTCTGCTTACCCTGAACATAAAATGCTCATTATCGAACTTAGTCAAGGTATTGATGTGATAAAACTATACACCAAATGTCCTCACTCCCACTGAATTTGAACTAAAGTTATTATGTCCCAAAACATCAACCAATCAAACTGCTTATCTCTGATTACCCTAAGCAGAAAATTCTCATCTTCGAACTCCATCAAGGCATTCACCTAATAAACACGTGTACCAAAGTCTCAACCAATCAAATTGCTCTTTGCTCTGCTTACTCTAAGCAGAAAATGCTCATTATCGAACTTAGTTAAGTTATTGATGTAATAAAACTATACACCAAATTTTATCACTCTCACTTAATTAGAACGAAAATTATCGTGTCCCAAAGCATCAACCAATCAAATTGCTTATCTCTGCTTACCCTAAGCAGAAAATGCTCATCTTCGAACTCCATCAAGGCATTGACTTAATAAACACCTACACCAAGTTTGAACATTTTAGCTTAATTAGAAGGAGAGTTATTGTGTCCCAAAAAGTGTGACGGAAGGACAAACGGACGGATGGACAGACGGACGAACCCAATTTAATAGTCCCCTGCTTTCTTAAATATCAACTTAAATTAAGTGTCTGGACTGCATAACAGAATCAAAGATCATAATCATTCAATAACTATTGAAAACTCCATTAATAAACAAGTGGTTGCCATGCAAGATACACCAACTTTTTACAAGAGATGGACAGAAAACATGGAAAATCGATAGGGCTCAGCCTCAACCTCTCATTATCCCAGTGCTTCACATCGAAGGGACAACAGTATACGTCCTGGGCAAAAATGTGGACATACTATATAAAACATTACTTTGCTACTTTTTAGTTACAGTATTTAAACAATGTATGAATAAACTGAGAAGCTGCTCCCGTCAAAAGGCAAAACCTAGTAACTCACTTTTTTTTATCAAAATTGAGTTAGGACCAAATTTGTAGTTACTAGGGTATGTGCTTCCTGTTGTTGTACTAGATATTCCAATCCTTTGATTTTGTAAGCAGTTACACCCATGACACAACCTAGCAACTTCCTTCATTTGCCTAGTATACCACAGCAAAACCTAGAAACTCAATAGTCAAATGAATGGATGAGCTGGGGTTTAATATTCATTCATTACGTTTTCCTTTGTTTTCTCAAAATAAGAAGATAGGTTGCCAGGCAACGAAACATACGCCCACAGCAGCTAAATCATCTGGGCAGTCAACAAGTGTTGTCGCATATTTTTACTTCTTTCGGTAATGAAACATTTATAATACACTAAAATCTGATTAAGAGTAACAACTCATGAAGTAATTATCAGAAAACCATTATAATTTGCATGTTTTTCATAAAGTTCTGCCCCATGGATTTAGCTGTTCAAGTCATAAAAATTCATTGACAATCAATATACTTGTTCGTCTCAAGATCTTAAACTCTGTGTATCAATCTTAAACGCTGAAAATCAATAGGCTTCTTCGTCTCATGACCTTAAGCACTGTGTATAAATTTAAAGTCAATCGGATATTAACTTTGGCCTCTAGAGCGTCCACAAGATTTTTCAAAGTGATCAAGGGCCATAACTCTGGCAGTAATTATCTGAAATCGCTGAAAATCAATAGGCTTCATCGTCTCATGACCTTAAACACTGTGTATAAATTTAAAGTCAATTGGATATTAACTTTGACCTGTAGGGTGTCCACAAGATTTTTTAAAGTGATCAAGGGCCATAACTCTGGCAGTAATTATCGGAAATCGGTGAAAATCAATAGGCTTCTTCGCTTCATGACCTTAAACACTGTGTATAAATTTAAAGTCAATCGGATATTAACTTTCGCCTCTAGAGCGTCCACAAGATTTTTTGAAGTGATCAAGGGCCATAACTCCATAAAGCTGTGTGCTTTATCAATCTTATAAATATACTTTTAAATATCATTTCGGGATATCAATATAAACTGTACACCATTTAAGCAATTGTACTAAAATTTAAGCCTATAGATATTTCTAGTGCAATCATGCTGCCATATTTAGTTGTCTGTGTTTATAATATTAATACAAATTCTGTAATCATTTCTCCAAGTCTGGCCATTCTTGTACTGACCACCATAAACAGCTTGCAATTATTTTGTGCTCAGTATAATAGCTTGATAACGTTGACAGAATACTCTTCGAAAAACGTCGGCCAAATAAATAAGTAGCTGGTTTTTTTTATGATTATGTGTTCTTGTGTATTGCTCTATCCAGTTACTAAATGCCTCTAAAACACGAGAGGAAACCATGCTAAAACACTGGTATCGAACCTATGACCTCCTGGTTAGTGAGTCAGTGTCTTACTCACTTAGTCAACATGGCTCACTGATTAGAGAGAGAGAGAGAAATGGGGTTTAACGTCCACTCGACCCAAACTAGATCATTTTGAGACTAACACATGGTTCAATTCTATTTGAATAATTTGCTTTAGCAGTGGGAGGAAACCGCAGGACCCGGAGAAAACCCACAAGGTTGGACAGGCGACCCTACTCCTTGTCCTACAAAACAAATGACCCCATATGATAATATTTCAAAGCAATTGATTATTATTTTTTTCCCTAAAACAAAGAGGTCTATTCATTCTAATAATAATTACCTTAGCCCACTCAACACCACCAGTTTTAGAAAATGCTTGACCAACTGCTGTATGCTTTAAATTTACGGTTGGACTTAATACATTCACTAGAATGTCAGCCTGTATAATAAAAAAAAAACATACAATATTAAAAAGAACACATCAGTTGTTGAATTCTATCACTATATTTTTATCCATATGTTCTAGGCAGATTCGTGATTGTTTTATGTTAGAGAACAGCAATGAGGTTGAACCTCTTAACCCTTAACCGGTCGACGTCATTTTGACGTTATGACGTCAAGTGATCAGGCTAAATAAAGGCTGACGTGAAATATTTTGTATGCCTATTTCAATCGACTACTGCCGAATAATTATAAGTGATAGACTCTTGACACCAATAAAAAAGTTGCTGGGGATAAGTTGATCTATAATTTGCAAATGAATCTAAATCTTTTTCATCAGAAATATCGTCTTCAGAATCGGTGTCATCGATATAATCCGATTCGGAATAATTCATAAGCAGGGCTCTATAAAAGTTGAGTGTGCCTGCGCACACACTAGAAAATGTGCCTGCAGGGTCATACTGAAACACAGGGATGTAGATATGATTTGGTGAGTGGTGTATAAATATATCTAGCGAGTGCAAAAATTTTTTGGGAGGGGGGCGTGGTCTTTTATGAAAATTAAACCCTTCTTGGTGTATTTTCAGAGCATCTGCAGCCTTTTGTATTTGGTTCAGTGCAAATCAAATTTCCATTTATATATTCAAATTTTACCAAATTCACTTAATTTTCATCAATGATACAGGGATCTAAAAACTTTTTGACACCACCCGACCAAGCATAAAATTGTCCCACCCCACTCTGTTTCTCTGGATAGTTGAGGATCTTTCGGTATTTGTTGTTTTGTTGGATTTTTTTTTCAAATATTACTTTGAGATTAAAAATTAAAACGATTCTTAAAACGGTGTTTGTGTTTTATTTGAGTACTGCAACGAATTATGACAACAGGTAGATATTGATAATTAAAACACGTTGTATTATTTGACTTGTTTGTAAAGTTGTTGTACGTGTCTCACGAATATTATTATTATTACGGTGGAATGAGAATCAGGTCAGGCAGAAACTGAGAAAGCTCTCATCGTCCTCCTAGTCCTACTCTCGAGCTGTAGCAAATCCACGGTCAACACAGGTAAGAAATAAAATAAGAAACATCATGAAAATTTGCAGGCACGTGTTGGACAATTACGACATTCAAACCTGTAACATTGGAGTGCCGTAAATTGGTCTCGGTGACCTATTTACGGCAAATAAACAAATATAAAGACCGTAGAATAATTGTAAAATGAATATACCTAGGCCTACACATCTTCTAAGTATAAATAAACAAAATATCAATACATCTTTCTTTAAACTAATTTGGGATGATAGGGTCTACTACGGCACACAAAAATAAATTATGCCGTGACAGACATGGTTTGCGTACATCGGCTTTTACCATGGCTTTGCCGTTTAATTGCCGTGGTAAATTTTGAGCGCCGAGTTTGTGTACAGAGAAGGACGAAGGGGTTTAAATACGACTGGGCGGCTTTCTTCGATTTTTTCTTTGTGCTGGGCGGCAAAAATAGTGCCGGGCGCAGGCGCCGCCGGGGTGGCTACATCTTTAAAAATGTGCCTGCCAATTTTTTTTTTAAAGCAATTGTGCCTGCGCTCGCCGTGCGCATGTGCGCGGAAATATTGATGCCTGTTCATAAGTATTTCAACCACTTTGAGTGTCTTTAACGTTCCTGACACCGTTAAATTACATTTTTCGTCAAAAAATGTTGAACAAAGACATGTTTTTCTCAATGCCCTTGACAAGACAAGTTCCTGTCTGACACGCATGCGTTTACCATATCGCAATTAAATACAAAACTAAATACTCAAATGCGGCTTATAAAAAAGGTTCTTGCTGTGGTCGACTTTAGTCGACCTTGACCACTTAGCCGTATAACGTTGTGGTGACTATGGTCGACAATGACCGGTTAAGGGTTAACTTTCTGCACCAACAGGGCTAATGCCATATGCAGTGTGCCATGAGAGAAATTCTTCCTGGATGCAGGGTGTTTCCACTTACTCTTCGTTGAATTTCATATGTCAAAAGTTCCTTTACAACCTTTGAACTAAAAGAAATCCCGACCTAAACTTATCTTCGGTATCCCCAGTGGTTAAGGCTGTGCAAAAATATCGATATAATCGATAATCGGTAGAAGTTATTTAGCGATACGATAATTGATACTGAAATTCAAATATCGATTATCGGTATATTTACCTTCTGACGGCAAGTTACGGTCACTTTCACATGATTGAACTTGCCGTAGTCTGGCATGCAGACGAATGAACGAATACACAACGTCAACACAACAACTATTTTCCCCCTCTGCTTACAAACTGGCACATTTTAAATATATATTATTGTAAAAAAAACTAAACTTTAAGATTAAATACATTATTTTAATATTTTCGTTTTTTTTGTTGTTATTACCAGTTGAAACTAAAATAGGTCACGCACTTTCTGAACAATGACGATCGCACGTGATATAGTAAAATTAGAATTATCTCCCTTCTTTTCTCTTGATTGATTTGTAGAGAAATTGTCTGCTTTCACGATAAAACTAATTGTATTATTAATGATCAACTCAGCTTTTATTACTAAATCATGTCAGATACAGCCCATACAAAACACGTTTTTGAATTCCCGGGAAAATATCTATATCTCTCGTAATTTCTTGGAAGAATTCTACTTTGGTTTTCGTCAAAATTAACCAATCATAAAAATTCTACTTTGAAAGCCGGTAATTATTTTTTTATTGTCCAATCAATAGACGCCTTCTATTATATTTTATTCTATTATTAGTAACACTGTGTGATCGCCAGTAACTTGCAAAGAGAAACCATGTATTGTCTTTGTATTTATCGGAGATATTGGAATAAAAAAATGGTTCAAATGAATCAAGAACAAAACTTAGAATAATACTCAAGTTAATCCTACATTTAGCAGCTAATTATTTTACATTAATTGATTTTTTTACGTACATCGGCACAGTATTAGACTAGGATAATAACACTACTGTAACTCGATCAACACAAATATAAGGTCGGTAAAGTTCGGTTTTTCCGGAAGAATGATAATCGATTATTATCGATAATCGCTGACAAATTCTTGCCGATAATCGATGTTGAAATTTCATATCGATTCCCAGCCTTACCAGTGGTATCATTCCGTTTCACTCCACTAACCTCTGGGTTCATCCATGGGAAAGACATCTATTCAAATTATCTGTTTTTTTGATTGTTTCGTAGAATCAAGCTACAATCAAGGACAGATAATTTGAAAACGTGAATTATGCGAATAACCCATGGATGAACCCAGGGTATATAGTGGAGTAGAATGAGACCACTAGGGATACCGAGGATGACCAAAACAATGCTTAGTATTTCTGACTCTAGGACATTGTTCAAAATATGTGAACAGTCTTGGCTTCTAAATTCCATCATGTGATACCCTTTCACCTCAATACTGACCTTTTCTTTCGTTATATCTCCTTGTTTCACCTTAATAGTTGCCTGGTTAAAGGTGACACTTTGTATCTTAGGCTTTGAAAATGAGCGCATCGTAGTTACCCTAGCAGTAGCAGACTTCCATCTAGTTCCACGACCAGCTCTTCTTGGTAGATATTCTCTAGGTGTATCTTTAGTAGGGGAAAATGTTCTAAAAGTAAAAGAAATCAAAGAAACATTAACACAATAACATGGTCATTTTGATGCTAACACATTGCAGATTTTATATTTTAATTTGTTTCATGGACTGACAATCTATTTTCGGTAAAAGTCTTATATAGATAAAGTGTTTGGTATAACCAATTCAGAATTCCACAGTAAACCAGGAAATTAAACCTAAATTGAGTTAACAAGCTAACTGCCACTTAAGAAAAGAATCTATACCTCATGCTCCTAAATGAATTCCTTTGTTCTGGTTTTAAATTCAGGAATTCTAAACAGCATTTATTTTCTTCTTCAAATGTTGACTTTAATCGTTTCTGATTTGTATTCTTTAGACCATTTACCAATGTATTTAATTCTAAAAATAGATGTTCCAAAAAAGAAAGATATTTCAAAAGTCTATCTTAATCTTTGCCTCTGATAATGTTATTCCTCAACGTTAGTAACATTTCTAATTTTCCAACAAACATTACATGCTCAAACCATGACAGAAGATTCTGGGTGTCAGCAGCGAGGACAAATGTTTCTTACTCTTGAACAGATAGTTCAGCACAGTGGTGGGAACCCACTAAACTTAGGCTGCGTGACTTCAGTTAGCTCCGCTTGAGAACAGACACTAAGCTAGTTGACCAACATTTTAAGTCTTAAATTGATAATTTTAGTCGAAAAAAACAAGCATACTTCGAGAATTTTGAAAAGTATTTATTCTGCTTCCATTTAATGGAATTGAATAGGTTTATTTAGTCTTTGTGTGTATGCGAGATGTGAGACGGAGTAGAACCACATTACAAAACAATATACTTATATACTAAATGGCGGCTATTCAGGACAGAGATTTATTCTTAAAGTATGAAGTAGATTGATCTCTGTGTGTAGAATGTGTTGGGAAACAATTTTATCATCAGCATTGTTTTTCGAAGAGTGTTGCCTCCACAAAGAAAAACAACAAGGAAGACGACAAGATGAGTAGTGCTTGGGGTCCAGATTCTGGTCTACAAATAACTTTCAGTCAGTCGAAAATAATTTTAACAGTTCCTAGAGATGACATGAATATAAATATTTGAATTTTACCTCTGCCTGTTACGATGTCTCTTTTAAATATGAGTTTACAGTGCCACACCTTTTTCTCTAGCTCCCTCAGTTTACCCTCAACTTGTTGAACTACATTTGGTGGGCCTGATAATACAAGCTTAAAACAAGCATCATTTGATTCATCTTCAATATAACCATCACCTTCCCTAAAACACCAAAATCATTTATCTAGTTATCTCTATTACTGAATTAAAATCATTTATCTTTATTACCGAACCAAAATCATTTATCTAGTTATCTCTATACTGAATCAAAATAATTTATCTAGTTATCTCTATTACTGAATCAAAATAATTTATCTAGTTATCTCTATTACTGAACAAAGAGGGCGTGAGAAATATGGAATAACATCCATTTGACACAAACTAGGTCATTTTAGGACTATTACATGGTACCTTTCTTATATAAACAGGCATTATGCAAAAACTTAATATGCCTATTGCAGGTCTTTCTTTGAACCTTAAATGTCATAATCAACTATCAATGCCATCGGATTGCTCTGATTTCAACTAGTTTAGAACAGTTCAACCATTTAATGATTTAATTTAGAAATAGAGAAGTGGGCCTATGACTCGAATGACCAGTACAGTAGTTACGATCAATGCACACATCTTGTCAACACTACAACCATTGATAACTTCGCTCAAAATAAAGTAATTTGAATGAAATTTTCAATAATTTCATTTTGAATAATCTATTTTTGAAATATTGAAGTGAGTACTTACATAAAGCCCGTTCAAATAATTTGCATGTGTGTACCTAGGGGTATTTAGCAGTGCAAGGAAATTGAAGGACCCAGAGAAAACATGTGAGGTTGAGTAGGTTCCCTTACTGCTTGTGACCACTCGCCCCTCCCCCCTACCCACACACACCCACCCATCTCCATTCAATAACCATTTCTTCATCTCACAAATGTAAACAAAGCATGATTGAATGATTGATTGTGGATGATTGAAATTTTTCTAATAATAATAAGAAGAAATAATTACCTCATACTTTGTCTTATAGAATTGATCTGTGGTTGAAAATATCGCTGCATACAACGAGACTTGGCACCTTCAAAATTCAATGTCTTAACATGGTGTTCGTTTTTCTCAAGTATTGTTTTTAATTCTCGGGTCGCCACAGACACGTCTCCGTTCAAACCATCTATAACAATCATCTTATCATCTTCGATATGTACTTGAACTAAATAGTCGTTCTCAATGACTTTCCTGACATTTTCCCATTTACTACTCTTAAGAAAATGCCTGTATGAGTTTTTATAAACAATTCTGTTGGTCAACAGTAGATTTTTACAAATCCCAAGAAACTTTTGGGTTGAATCCTCTCCGAACCCTGCACAAACTAACAGACCATCATTGTTGACGTAACCCATAACGGAATCTTCAGCTCCAAAGATTGATTCAAGATACATTTCTCCTTTTGCAGATCTCAACAGACTGCAAAATGGTTTCGCAATAATGCAAGATTTTTCAGAAATACTACCCAATTTTTCATACATTTCAACTTTCGTAGTATCAATATCTTCTTGGGTACCTGCAAAAATAACAATCTGTTTCTTTTCGTCAATTGTAACCTTACATAAATGACAGTTGGCAACAAATGCACTTTTCTTCATTAAAATAATTTGATGGCTGCTCAATTCTATTTCATTTGTTGTAATAACCTGAGTTTGTTTTCTGAAATTAAAATAATTGTTTCTTTTATTATAAATAGTAATTGAATCAGGATGTATATCTATATGTCACAGAGAAGTGTGGGGAGAGAATCGTTCACAAACCAACAAATAAATGGTCTATATATTTATTTAAATAATTTGGCATTCACTACCTGATGAATTATCATCCATTCTGGATTTAACAAACTGTGTTATATAAATCTTTGTATGTTAGGAAGAGTCAAGAGCTTTGAGCACTATTTTTTGTAGATTCTAGTGTATTACAAATGGACATTTATCATTATCATGATTCACTTGCCCACAAATAATGTAGGAACCAAGAGTATCTGATGATGCTATCTCTTGTCACATACAAAACTGGCATGGACCTGATACCCATTATATACGTCCATACATGTAGATACAGTGCACATGTTAGACCACTCGCTCAGTTCAGCAGACCACTTGACCACCTAAACCTTGTGAGCTACCTACAGTACACATGTTAGACCACATCCACCTAAACCATGTGATCTACAGTACACATGTTAGACCACATCCATCTAAACCATGTGATCTACAGTGCACATGTTAGACCACATCCATCTAAACCATGTGATCTACAGTGCGCATGTTAGACCACATCCATCTAAACCATGTGATCTACAGTGCACATGTTAGACCACATCCATCTAAACCATGTGATCTACAGTGCACATGTTAGACCACATCCATCTAAACCATGTGATCTACAGTGCACATGTTAGACCACATCCATCTAAACCATGTGATCTACAGTGCACATGTTAGACCACATCCATCTAAACCATGTGATCTAGACCACATCCACCTAAGCCATATGATCAACGATACACATGTAAGACCAAATCTACCTAAACCATGTGATCTACAGTGTACTTGTTTAAATGTGAAAAGTTATGAAAACTTAGCTATTAGGATATCATCATATTGGCTAGCATGTAAATGTAGGTGTTCCATATAGGAAGTCTTGGGTTTAACTCTGTCCAGCATTTATCAAATATTGAGTGACCTAATTCAGTGTTCGGCGCACAACTGCTTTCAAACAATGGATAAACTGAGGCTAGATTCCAAACTGATCAGTTTCTATGGTGATATTAATCAATGTACTGGCACTTCTATCAGGTGAATTTGAATTTAAGGCTCTCCAATTTGCTACCTTGTAATAGAACATGCTATCATGAACATCAAGCATAAGACAGTGTCTAATCTAGGTTTCTTCCTTTAATTATCTTGTCAGTGATGCAGAACAAAGGGGCCTGGCAAGGGATAACATATTATAGTCGTTTGGAGAGAGAGAGAGAGAGAACAAGGTCATTTCGGGACTAACATATGGTTTAATTTTATTTCAATAATTTGCTTGCGCGTAGGGGTCTTTAGCAGTGGGAGGAAACCAGAGGGCCCAGAGAAAACCCACGAGGTTGGACAGGCGACCCTACTCCTTGTCACGTACAACTGGGGATTCGAAACCATGCCAGTTGACTCAATGACAGACTTTATGATACAGCGTGCACACGCTAACCATTCAGCCATCCAACCCCCCTATAGTCGTTTGGATAGGATGAATAACAAAGGTCGCATGGACACATTGACATGCATATAAAAGAGCCCTTGGAAATCGAAATCAGTCGATCCAGAACAGTAGGATGTTAAGCGGTGGACACACTAGCCAAATCATTTGGCTGAATCAATCGCTGCCAAAATATGCTTAGTGTGTCCAGTGTCATTCGGCTGAATTTCTATTCGCCAAATTAAACTGTTCGCCTAGTGGTCCGATTTGCCGAAGCATTCACACAATTATTAGAATTTATTAGCCAATCACCATTGATGTCAAGAAGTCACATGATTGTTTTTTGAAAGACATATGATGTGAAAGGTGATGCAATCGACTGTTGAATCACGCAGAGAATTCACCAAGTTTGACCACTGAATTTTGAAAAAAAATAAAGTATTGAATTTGCCGAAGCATTCACACAATTTTTAGAATTTATTAGCCAATCACCATTGATGTCAAGAAGTCACTTGATTGTTTTTTGAAGACATATGATGTGAAAGGTGATGCAATCGACTGGTGAATCACGTGGAGAATTCACCTAGTGTGACCACTGCTTTTGAAAAAAAATAAAGTATTGAATACTGTAAATCTGATGTGTTATTTCTGTTACTGATAGTGATGAAGAAAGCTGTATACAAATGTATGTTAATTCACTTACTGTGGTACTGGTATTGGTGGAACTATTTGAACTGGAGGGCCACTGTTTCTCCGATTACTTTTTGTAGAATGTGAAGATGGTGGTAATGGGTTATGGTTAGTTGCTTTAGAAGATGGTAATGGTTTGTTAATCTTGGCACCATTCTTCCTTTGATCGCTTGTGCCAACAATATCCTTAGCATCAAAGAACAGATTAATATCATCAGAATCATCATCAGAATCATCATCTGTTTTTTGATTAGCTTTACTATACTGACCAATACCATTATGCTCCTCCTCCTCCTCCTCCTCCTCCTCCTCCTCCTCATCATCATCATCATCATCATCATCATCATCATCTGTATCATCATTATTTGCATTGTCTACTAAATGAGCTCCTGTACTATGATTAATCTTTCCTTCATAGTTTTGAGCCATACTATGAACCCTCCCCTTAACATTACCCTCCTCCTCCTTCTTCTCATCATCATCATCATCATCATCATCATCATCATCATCATCATCATTATCATCATCATCATCATCATCTGTATCTGTATCTGTATTATGGGTTGTAGAATGTGACAATGCTGCTAATATTTTACATTTAGTTGGTTTTGGTGATGGTAATGGCTTGTTAAGCTGTTGTATTATATAGCCATGGAATTTGTTGTAAAATAATTTAACTTTCATGTCATGCGGAAGTTTTATCTTGACCAATTCATCAGCAACTGAAATAGAACAAAAATCATCCTAAACATTGCAAATACAAGTAAATGTAACAAATTCTTTTTAAACAGTAAATGTAACAAATCCATTGTAAACATTGCAAACACAAGTAAATGTAACAAATTCATTGTAAAAATTGCAAACACAAGCAAATGTAACAAATTTTTCACAAAATGCAGTAAAAACATCTGAAATAATCTCCACAAACAAAGTTTTGGGTCGGATGACAGAAGAATCACCCTGTCTGTCAATCCATCTGTCTGTCAATCCATCTGTCTGTCTCTCAGGATCTTGTAAATGCAACTCCTCTTAATCCATTCAAGATTTGACACAAAGTGCATGTAACAACCAAGGAGATAATAAGGGTCCTGTCAATTACAGGCAGATCTACATTAAATTCCCTAATCTTAGAATCTATGAATGCAGCTCCTTGTATTTAAAACTGTGGTGGAGAGCATTATATTAACAACATAGTAAATGAGAGAATATTTGTTGGTCTGCCTTCAACGTTACAGCAGTTATTTCCCTTTGACACAAATTTTAGCATGTGTGGATGAAGGGTCGAGCTAACTGCTCTAAAGTTTAGTCTTTTATGCAAATAAATTTAGAGTTTTTCCAGTATTTTCGTAATAACTTCTGAGGCAAGCAAACAAATCTAAATATTTGTGCAACCAATTAGGGTGCCATGGTGGCTCCGTGAGTAAGACATTGGCTCGCTAACCTGGAGGTCTGGTGTTCAATCCCTGCAATGGCCGGGAAAGTTCATCTGGATTTGGTGTCATTCCTCCTTGTCAGAGGAGCAGGACATAGGGCCTGGCTAGGGACAACATATATAGTCAATCAGTAGGGATGAAAAACCAAGGTACACATTGGTGTGCATGTAAAAGATCTCTTACAATTGGAATTTGGTATAAAAGTAGCCCATAGCCCAGCTCTTTATGGGCAATATTTCCCTCATAGCACACAGTATGGCATATGCCCGTCTTATTAGCCCAGTTAGAGCAGAACAGTAGGACTTTAATCCCCATATCATTTCATTTCATTTGCAACAAATAAGGGAACCAAAGTGGCTCATTGATCAAGGTACTGGCGCCTTAACAGATGGCCAGAGGTTCAAAAAGAAAGTTTTCCAGGATTTTCCAGGGTGGTTTCCAGTGTCTGTGGTCCAGGACAGAGAGCCTGCCAAGGAACATAATCTAATCTTTCGGCTGGGATGTAGAAAACAAGATCCACTATACACATTGGCATTCGAAAAAAGAACCCTTAACAATTAGAATTCAAGCATAATCTATCTATACTAATATTTGTGACTGTCGTTTGTCTGCCTGTTTGTTTGTTTGTCTGTCTGTGTGTCTGTTCGGGGTTGGCGGCTACACTAGGTCTGCCCCGAGTCTGAAATTTGGGGTATAGGAGTAGCTCGGACCGGGGAGTAACATAGGCCAGGTGGCGTTAGTCTACCACTTCCGGTTTCAGAGTTATGACCCCCGAGCAAAGCCGGGCATTCTTCTAGTGGTTAAATATAAGTGCAGCGCAGTGGAAGCTATTCACTTGATCTGATATGTGTGTTTCTTGTTTCTGGTGTCTGTATATTGTTTCCTGTCCATAGGTTTGTCTTTCTCGTCCGATATGATAAAAATATTGTGATTGTTACCGAGGTAACAAACGGTAGATTGCTGAGAAATAGGCTAGGAAGTAACACTGTAACATAGGTATTGTTACATCTTGTGTATTTAGCCCTAATTTCTTTTACATTCAGTCAATATCGAACCTTTGTTTAAAAAATCTGTCCAATTTACAAGCGTTTAATGTCTCGACCACTATTCAAAATTTAAATATTATACCTTATAAGCGAGTGATTCCCAACCGTTTGTTGGTTGTGACCCCATTCTAGAAACCTTTTGCTATGAAACATCATCATTATTTAACAAATCTGGCCAAAAATATTATCAGGATCTGTTTGAAAACGGCACAGACTGTCACAGGACAATATGGGACTCATCTTGCAGAAACTGTTGTCATTCCTAACTCATTGGCAATAATGTGCTAATCTTCTCATGAGAGATGCCCACAACACTAACAATATGTCAAGTGGTCAATCATCGATCAGCCATCACTATTTCATGCACCCAGGTAATGTTTTGTTGAATGGTTGCCGTTGATGGTGTTTCAAGACATGGGTCATCGCCAAGGCTCTCTCTGCCACGCTTAAATTCCACAGTCCTTTTCTTTACTGTGGAAACTGAAGGGACTGCATCTCCTCACTGATGATAATGTGCTCAGTCCTCTCATGAGAGATGCCCACAACACTGGCAATATGTTGAGCGGTCAATCGTCAATGTCAGGTACCCAGGTAATGTTTTCTTGAATGGTTACTGTTAATGGCCTTTCAGGATGTGTGTCATCATCAAGGCTCTCTCTGCCATGCTTAAAATCCACAGTCCACTTCTTTACTGTGGAAAAGGAAGGGACATCATCCCCTAAAGTGGAGACGATGTCGGCATGTATTTGCGTTGGGGTTAGTTCGTTCAATTGTAGGTACTTGATGGCTGCACTATAGCCAGTTTGTCCCTTTCTGGTGATTTCAATGGGTAGGTTCACAAGATGGTCTGGTACAAAGACAATAATAAAACTACAGTTGCAGTTCTTATGTCTCTGATTCATTCAATGATTGTACTTGTTGGTGGCAAAAGTCTGTTTCAACCCAATCGATCTATCCTTTTCAGGCTTACAACTTTTCAGGTTATAATCAATTGGGTTGGTTATTTTTTAACAGTGGTCGGGAAATTAAACGATATCCTGGTTACAGTCTAATTGATAGTCTCTTAATATTTCTATTGAAAAACAATTGTAAATTAGTTAAATATATTACCATTGATATTGTTGATGTAGAAAACCGTGCATTTAGGTTTTACGTAAGATTTTTTCTGTGTAATAATATTCTTGCCATGCGACTTGGTGAAGTATGAACAGATCGTATCTAGACTGATACTAGAAGGTACATTCTCTATGATCAATCCATCTGGTTCCGTCAAGAGGGATAACTCTATTTGTTCTTTCTTCACCTTTCCTATTTTAACCAATTCATTAAATTCTGTGCAAATAAAAATTAAAATCAATTATACTTAAATGTACTAACATATAATCAGATATTTAAAAATCCTCGCACAACAGCAGTACAAATATATAATCCTACAATATATAATTTACAGAGTACTAGGAGTACAGCACACAATGTTAAAAAGCACACTGCACACAATATTACATCACACCAATTTGAATCAGATTTAACACAGCAGTAATGTATAAATCGATATAGATATCATGAGAGAGAGAGAGAGATAAACTGTGGTTTAACGTTCACATGACACACGCTAGATCAATTTGGAACAACATTTCGGGAGTATTTAATAATAATAATAATAATGAAGTTTTATATAGCGTCTTCTCCATGTTGACACATGCTCAAAACGCTTTTTGTAATGGCTCTACTGGTAAAACTGTTGAAACAGGAAAGTCTTTAGTGCGGATTTAAATTGATTAAAAGTTTGTTGATTCTTGATCTGTTGTGGAAGTTCGTTACATAATCTAGGACCAGCTGAACTGAAAGACCTATACCCATATGACTTCAAATTATATCTTGGAACAACTAGTGACTGTTTATTTTGAGAGCGAAGTGATCTAATAGGGTTGTAGTCATATAAGAGTTCAGATAAGTATTGAGGAGCTGCATTATTGCGACATTTATACACTAATGTTAGTATTTTGTATTTAACAAACTGGAGGATCCGGAGAAAACCCAGCACAAGCTTGGAATCAAAATCATGCCTTATGACTCATTAATAGACTGTAAAGCGCATGTTTTAGATCATTCATTCCACCACCCCATAACATAGACCTACACTAAACTGAATAACACATTCTTAATGTAAATATTATAGGTTCTTTAAGTTCAACCTATATATTAGAAAGCTGTATAGGCGAAGATTCTAACAACCGTTTTTCATAAAAATGCACCTACAAATAGGCTGAGAATATACCTGCAGAACTACCATTTTTGTTTTGTTTTAATAAAAATGCATCTCTGCATATACACTAAAAATATTCTTGCAGAATTACTGTTTTCTTTATTTTTATTTTTTTAATATAAATGCACCTTCAAATACACTGACAACAATCGTCAATTGTACATCAAGGGAGGATTCCAAGATTTTTCAAGGGTCGGGGGGGGGGGCTGAATGGTTTAATACATGCGTGTTAGACCATAAGGTCTGTCCTTGAGTCAAATGGAATAGTTTTGATTACTCGCTTGTACATTAGAGTCACTGTGGTTTCCTCCCACAGCTAATGACCCCCTATGGCGCGCAAGCGATTTCTTGAAATAAAACTGAACCATATGTTAGTCCCGAAATGATCTAGTTTGTGACCAGTGGACCTTAAACCAAATTTCTCTTCTCTCTCTTTCACCAAGATTTTCAAGCTTGTATAACTACAGGAATGATGTCACACCTACCGGTTTCATTTATCTCTTGTTCAAATTCCACCAATGCAACATTTTCTACCCCTCCAAATAATTCAGATTTTTCAACATCTTTATCATCTGAACAATTCTCCAGAAAATCCTGCACTACATATTTATTCCAATCTGCTGGTATATTCTATAAAAATATAATAAAATCGATTTAAAGTGAATAATTCAGTTAAAGATGCATTGTAAGAGCTAAGTCTGGTGATTGCCAGTCTTTCTTTTGGCCTCAAATGTTGTATAAATATAAATTATTATCTAGAAGTTATTCACATGACCAACTCTTTAAACCATCAGATGGACATGACATACATGGATTTAACGATAAAATGGATAATCATGCAATGGGCAAAGAGCGAAATTTTGCTGGGCAGCGACGCTACGGACTCCTTTTATTTTCAATTCCAACTGTTAAGGGTTCTTTTACGTGCATGCCAATATGTACACGACACTTAGTTATTTGTCCTACACCACTGACAAGGGGAAACCACACCTGAAAATCCTGATGAACTTTCTGAGCCAACATAGGGATCAAACTCGGGGCCTCCAGGTTAGCGTACCAACATCTTACTTACCAAACCACTGTGGCTAACCTGCACTTTTGGGTGTTAATGAGACATTCAATCATTAGACAATGCCAGAAAGCAATCAAGTGTCAGGGTTATGAATTGTTTTATAAACCGTGAATAAGATGAAAATCTGAGGTCCCACGATATCACTAGCATGATGCTATATATCACCTGCCAGTTGAAAATAAGGCAGTAGCATGGCTAAGCACGCGGCTACCATGTGTAGAAATTCCCATATAGCGCACGGACTGCATGGCATAATGGACGTCTTCATCAGTTAAAAAAACTGAAGACGTTTGTTGTTGTTAGTGTTGTTGTTGTTTGTTGCTAGGTAAAATGACTTCTGATTGTCCCAGGAATCTTATATATATCAAACATCGATTAAAAATAAAAGTTTGTCATTGTTTGCACAGATTAAATATTGGGAAAACAGAACAATCACTCATCATGATCAATCAAATCAAGCGGAATTATAAGTTTTGAGGGTGTTTATTTTGTTTAATAAGATAGACCGCTATGTTTTGCAAACATGGTATTATTGTGTCCTGACTAACACTTGACATAATCGGCCCCAATAGTTGCAGCTCTGCAGAAATCAGTTATACTACGAAAAAGAAATTACAATACAACTTCTAAAATATCTTTATAAACTTTTCCGTGTTGCCACTACTTTCACTATTCTTATCCATCCTTATGGAAGTACACGTATATCTACGAAATAAAAAATTAACAGCCTAAAAATATATTCTGATCACATAAAAATTCTTCCTTGTTGTTGCCTACTTTCTCTTTCATTTTCCATCCATATTATGAACATTCATTGAATTTTCCACATATTTTATAGCCTACTATATTAAGCAATCAAAAATTAAAATGATGACAAAAACAATTCATACAACCTTCACTAGTATTTTATTTCTCTGTTCTTTGTTGTTGTTGGTTGCCATTATTTACCAATAGTATTAATAGTTATAGTAGGGCTCGCCTTAATAACTTCTTAATAGAGTCTTGAATTAATCGCCAGTCGTTGGTATTTAGATACAAACAATACTCAATAGGACATCATTCATAACGTCTACAACTTCACCAAACATACATTATATGGCATGAAAACCTGTCTTGAAGACAATTGCTCACAACCATTATTTCTGTTATTCGTCATAAAATGCATTTGAGTCCAGGAAAAACCAAATCACGGTATTCGGTGGAAATCACGTGACAACTCTTCTTTTACTTTCACATTTAAAAGGGGGAATACCCTAGCCCTGCCGGAGATTACCGAAGTATTCGTTGCATTCGGCACACATTGCCCACAACTGTCGATTATGGGCCGGATTATCTAATCGTTTTGGACTTCACCGACATCAATATTGGAATAACCAACCATATAAAGCTTTTATTATATCTATCCGCATGCGCAAAAAGTCGCTATTACTGGACTAAAAAATGAATTATCGTATAGATGATAAATCCTTCGCAGTAAAGAAAATAAACGACATTTCATCGAAGTATTCCTTGTATAAATTCAAACACACCGACATTTATCAAGGCCGAATGCCGCTGTGGGTGAGGGGGTGTTTAACTTGCCGCATTTGGCATTGTTTATTTAATAACGTAGGCCTACCATAAACATTGATCACTTTCCAAATTGTGAAAATTGGTTAAAGATCCATTATGGAGGAGCTAAATCTGCCAATTTTGGAGGTTTTACTCTAGGCTTCAAATGTTTTATAAATTATTATTTAGACATGACAACCCTATATAATGAACTCCCTATAGATCATCGGCAGGTCGAGCTTTAAATGGATTTTAACACCTGCCAGATTAAAAAAAAAATAACGTTAAAATGAACAATCGAGGTTTAATCTCGGTTGTCAAGTGCCGTTGCTACGATATCAAACTATCTACGCTTCATCAGCCATTTTTGAACTATTTTAGCAAGCACGGCAGCAATCATAAGTAAAGGTGTAATAACCCTGGGATTACTTTTCTGAAAATAAAACAAACCAGCGGCTGCCAGGCAGGAGGATACGCCCACATTTTGCAAGAGATGGATAGAGAACAAGCTAAAAACAAACGGAATTATTTGTACAATCATCAGGGGGTCCACAACTTTGATATACCAGATGTTTACACTAAATGTGTACGAGGGGCGGTCATTTTGTCTGTCAGTTTTGGTCCGATTGAGTTGGTCGAACTCAACCAATCTTAGGGTGTAACGGTGATATATTCAAACGTTTTTTTTTAAATCGAATATCGAAAGGAACCGAGATCTTTGGGTTATAAACTTACCTTTCAAGTTTCATCAAAATCCGAACAAAATTGTGATCTCTAGAGGGTCCACAACCGTGATATATCATATTTTTTACGCTATTTCAGTACTAGAGGCGGCGATTTTGTCTGTCAGTTTTGGCCCGGCTTTTACGAAATTCGAACTCAACCACCCTTAGGGTGTAACGTTGATATATTCAAACGGATTTTTTAAATCGGATAAAAATTATGACCTCTATAGGGTTCAAAAGCCAAAATTCAGGAAGTTGCTGTCCGATATGCGCGAATATCAAAAGGAACCGAGATCTTTGGGTTATAAACTTACATTTCAAGTTTCAACAAAATCGGATAAAAATTGTGACCTCTAGAGGGTATACACTATCTAAAAACGCGATTTCTTTCGTACAATCAGGGGCCATAATCCATGAAGTTACGGTCCGGTACATACCAATATCGAAAGGAACCGCGATCTGAGGGAGATAAACCTATATTTCAAGTTTCGTTGAAATCGGATAAAAAATGTGACCTGTAGAGGGGCTTTTACCTGTAGAGTGTCCACAAACAACTGTAGACGGGCGGACGTCCAGACGGACCGGGACGACTACAATATACGTCCACATGAAAACGTGAGCGTATAAAAACCCTGAAAATCGTACGAATGAGTTGAAATGGCTTTTCTTTGAACCCCGTCCTTCACCAGTTTGGAATGTCCGGCGGACCTCTCTCGGCCGATAACAGAAGCGAACTTTCAGTAAGGTACCTTTTTCCACATGGTAAGGCCAGGATGCAAAATACACCCAAATTACCCCCCCTCCCCCCCCCCCCCCCCCCACACACACCCCATCTCGCCCAGTGCTCACTCTGGGTTCCATTTTTTTTCCGCCAATTTTTCAATTTAATTTATTAGCCATATATTTCTTCCGCCAAACTTTTTTTTAAAAATCAGCAATTTTTAAAACATTTTTATTTACATAAATACATACAATATACATATTACAATTTACAATATTCTCCTCTGCTTTGCAGAAGCCTATTTTTTGAACGCTTTTTCAAAATCAAGAATAACCACTTTTCCAATAAAATGAAATGAAATGAAATGGGGTTTAACGTCTTACTGTTCTGCTCCTAACCTGGGCTAATGAAAACGGGCATACGCCGTACAGTGTGCTATGAGGGAAATTTTGCCCGGGCAGCGGCACTATCGCCTACTCTTATATCGAATTCCAACCGCCAAGGGATCTTTTACGTGCATTCCAATGTATACACGGGAATTCTGTTTTTCGTCTCATCCGAAGGACTAGACAGCTGTCCTTGTCAGGCCCCCCCGTCCTGCATCACTGACAAGGGGGAACCACGCCGGAAAATCTGGATGAACTTTCTCGGCCAATGCAGGGATCGAACACCCGACCTCCAGGCTAGCGAGCCAGCGCCTTACCCACTTAGCCACGTGGTCCCCACTTTTCCAATACTAAGTACCATTAAATTGCACAATGTATTGGTTTTTAATGAATTTCGGAATTTGTTTTTTATAATATTTTGCCTACTAAATCTCCTTTCTTTCACACTCCGCAGTTGCCACGGGAATTGTAAGCAAGCGCTTACTGATATCACAAACACTTGGGAATATATCATCTTTGGTTAAGGCAAATTTACAAAAGTCAGTAATAGTAACATCACCTAAGTCAGACAATTGAACATAGTTTCGAAATGCCATAACTTCTTCTTACAAGGTACAAGTATCGAGTTTCAACAAATTCACATAATCTTCAATGTTAGCAACAAATCCTGCATATTCTATCTTACTATTTACATCAAATATTTTAAACAAATTACTTAATACAACAGCATCTCCCTTCTCTTTAAAACGAGCATTCAAATTAGCTATGACATTTAAAATAAATTTATTACAACTAGTTTGTGCATCACCCCTTTGCTTGAAGCCATCTCTGATCATTTGATCCTCAAAAATAAATGAGGCTTCACCAAACTGATCAAGGACAATGTCACTTGGTATCAAGTTTAGAAATTTGGAGAAATTAGATCCAGAACTTCCAGAAGCAATGTTTTTTAACTGATCAATGGAGGATTGAAGCAAAGGGTTTACATTCTCGCCCATGGGAACTATTTTTTATATCGAATATAGCTCAGGCAAGTGTGAATAAATTACCAAATGTGAAACACGTCCGGTTCAGTGATAGGCCTACAGTTATATTAAAATAAATCCCGGGAATGATAGTGTATTGTCACAATTCACATACTATTATCTGACATACACTTTAACTCATGTATACCTGTAGTTATGTATATCAGATAGATCTTTAAATTTATTAAGGGTAATCTCTAACTTAATTTTACAATGGACCGTATTATTACACAGGGTATAATTATACCTTTACTGTCTTTCGTGACTGGAGTGGATGTCTCCATGTGTTACTCATTGCCAAAAATAGATAATTTACTAAATATGTTGGGGTACGATTCAGAAAGTTGAATATTTTTAATATATTACTGGACAACTGGATAATTGTAGGATGATATTTGTTTGGTTTTATTTAATCAACGCTATATATGGTAAGTTATGTAAATGTATTTAAATTCAGTTCCATTTTATATTTTCGTTATCCCCACCACTTTGAGAACAGTATAACTACATTTTGAACTTTAAATAATGGATCGAAATATGACCCGTGGCTTAATCTGATTGGGGCATTTCATGAATTTTACACATTTTTAAATTAGGACCGAGTAAGAATCTCTCGTCAGAGCCAAAATGCCCCCGAGCTTTAGATGTCTCTGATGTAAGGTGACAAATACAGGTATCAATAATAGCAAAGTACAACTTCTCAAATAACTACATGATAAGCGGTATTGTTTCTTGGCAGAGTAAGCATACTTTGTGTCGTGCCTTACGCTTGTCACTACTTATACAAATATATAACAAACACTGTATGCGTTGTTTTAGTAGAATCTCTTTGTTGTTGTTCATTACAATTGTGACGTCCAATACACTATGTAGTGTCCCCTTTTTTTATTTATATAGTTTCTAGCCAAGAAACAAATTTCTCATCGTGTGGTGGATATTTTACAGATGAAACAGGAACCATCCAAACCCCTAATTTTCCTGGATCCTATCCACCGAACCAAGACTGTGTCTGGATCATAGAAGCTCAAATGGATTATAATGTATTTGTGGTATTTCACACATTTCAGGTAATTTCGAGTTTCAGCTTTCTGCAATCTTCCCTTATGGAGTTATGCCCCCTTTTCCGAAAACCTAATGTTAATTGTCATTGAAATATTTGTTTGAAATTTATTACTTTTTCACCAATGGTTTAAGTTCCCAGTCAACATCGGGAACATCAAAACATAATAATGTGATTATTTTAAATTTTGAATACATTGGGTCGATAAATTCTATCTATCTCATGATTTTAGCACCCCAAACCACAGCCGCCCATTACTCAGTCCTCGACGTCTGTGACAAACCAGAGATTGTCTGACATCTGTTTGACAAACCAGATATTCGCTCCTGGACCTTAGCAAGAAATGATGGCATGTTAAGTACAAAATATATGTATGAATAATCCAAACTTGCATATATACATTTCATTGAAATTACCGGCAATTTGGTTGGCCTTCATGCACAGAGTGAAACAGGAGATGGACATTTCCTTTAAAAACCGAGGGAATGCTGACATTCTAAGGTTGTTTTAGAATTCTACTATTTATTATCTATGTTATTGTTATGATATATTTAAATAGTTTAAGATACAGATACTACATGTAAGTACAGATGTAGTTAAGTTTATTATTTAATTTATACTATATTTAGATAGTCTTAGATACGACATGTAGTACAGATGTAGTCAAGTTTATTGATGGTGATGATGATACTGGTT